AAAATTGATAAACCCCATAAAAAGTTATAATCTTTTGAAAATAAAAATGTGGTTTCTGGGTTATGGTACACTATAACGCGGATAAATTCATGCGTAATATTAATAAATTATTAATAAATTAAATAAATTATTAATTAATAAATTAATTAATGATAATGCGGTTTACATTTTTGTTTCAGGCTTTTGTTTTCAAAATTTTGCTCTGACAATAAAAGATGGCTGAAATTTAACACGGTAAAATCACTAAGACTCGATTTTTAAAAATTTGTCGAAGGGATTTCAAAAATTCTTTTATTCTCGGATTCAGCACATTTTTCTGCGTCAATTGGCTATTTAAACTTAAAAATCCTATAGAAAACAAATTTTCGCGCGGATGTGCAAGGCGTCATTCACATGGATGTGAAACCGGATAGGTGAGTTGAATGAAGAGATTGGTTAACAGATTGATAATGTAACACAGTTTTTTTTTGTTACAAACATAGATTTCAAATTTCTTTGTAGATTTTGTAGGATAAAATCTATTGGATCTGAAAATTTTGCGATTGTTTACAAATTTATAATTTCGATGTTGATTTGATGTTATAAGACTTTGCTTTGTGTTTGACGATCGAATAGCAATTTTTTTTTATTGAAAAACAAGTAAAATCAAATAAAAAGTTGGAAAATTACAAAAAAAAATTGTTGAAAGAAGAAATCACAAATAATCGAATTTATCACTCATCTTTTCCACGGAAAAAAAGAGAAAAATCGCAAAAATCCGTTTGAATTTTGTTGCAAGAACATTTACAATTGCGAACTCGTCTCTGGTTTGACATCGCCATGAAAATCTTTATGATTCACGGAAGGCTTAACCGTAAAGAACACAGCTCTGTGGTCTCCAATTTTCTTTGTTTGTTTTTTGTCCGAATAAAATGTTCGCACGTCAGTAAACACATCGAGCTCATTTTTTCTGGTAAATACAACATCGATAATCTTATCCCCCTTTGTGGGTTCAGATACCCATTGGTCAAATCCTTGATCTCTCAACATTTTAGGAAAATGGCTTTGGGAGGCAGAAACCTTTTCAACTTTATAATCCCAATTAACATCCCCAACCACCACACAATTCTCTTTCGCCATTCGAATCCGATTTTTAAGCACGAGCGTGTGAGCTTTCAACGAGTTGCTACTACGATGCAAAGCGAAAAAGTTGAGTTTTCGATATTCGAAAGAGAAAAAGTGGTCATTATAAAGATCATTAGAAATGGGCGTCTTGTATTCTATAAAATTCCCAAAATTCGTCTTGTATTCCATTTCTGTTTCATTCTTAACTTCTTTACGGTAAATGATCAGACAATGGGTATAGGATAAAACGCTGTCGATAGCGTTGGATTCGTAATAATCTTTTCCGATAAGATCAGCTTGTTCACCCAATTTTATCTTATCTCCTACAAGCACGATCTTTTTTTCTTCCACAAAAATCACAACATATTCTTTGAAGGACTTTTTTACGTCTTCTTTTTTCTTCTGACGAATTTTCTCTTTTTCTTTATAGCTCATTGATTTTTCTTCTTCTTTAGTCAGTTTGCCAACATGCGCCTCAATTATAATGCAAAGATCAATGGTTCCTTCAGTTAGCAGGTCTTTAACTTTTTTCTGAGCTTCTTTGGAAAACGATTTCGGGTTCCAAAAAGACACTTTGTGCCATCTGAATTTGCGGTAAAACTTTCGCTGCTTTTCCTTTTTATCTGAGTAACATCACGAATCGCTTGATCTAATTTCTCTTTGTAGCTGGATAAGTTCGTTGATAGAAAATCCGTTGAAAGTTGCAATTTTTCGAGAAGCTCAATCAGTCTGGGGTAGTCTTGATCTTTGCCTTTACTTTTGAATCCTTTTATCAGCTCTTTTCGTTCTTGATCACTCTTTTCAATTTTTTCGACAGATTCCAAAAGTTTTTTCAAAACGAGTTTGGTTTGGTCGAGATCCCCGTTGAATTCAGCTAAGGTAGGTGGTTTTGCGGTTCCATCCCTGAAAATGCTTCATTTACATAAATGTGTTCTTTTAAATTTAGTGACCTTGCCCAGTCTTACGAAAGTAAGTCAAAAAAAGTATTAAGTAATTTGAAAAACTAGCAAACTTCTCTAATGTTTTTACGTTTACCAACCCGGTTCTGGTTGATCTCAAGTTGAGTTGGTTGGAATCAGTTGAAGCCATGCAAATAAAGAGCAAAACGAGATAAAATATGTTTCAAAAAGTTCTGAGTGAATTTAAAAAAACCTGTAACAAACAAAGTAATAAAAATATCAATCTTTGAGGAAGACTTTGCCTTATCTTTTTTCTTACTTGTTTTTTTACTTCGTGAGAATGAATACAGCTGCGGTACTGATAACTTTTTTGGCTCTTCTGCAGTTTCGAGGATTTTTCTTATTTTTAGCACATACACACATATATAGTAAGAAGACAAGAATGAGGAAAGTATTGCGAACTAAAGAAAAGCTCTAAAACACTTGTACACTTTTAAACATTCCTGAAACTGCAGAAGAGCCACGTTGCTTTCATTTAAGCCCTTAAGGCATTTTTGAATCAATTCAGGTAAAACCATCATTTTACCCTTGTATACAAAAAATGAAGTTGGAAAAATGAAAAATGAAATTTTCAGCTCAAGATATTAGGTTGATGCATAAGTCATTACCATTTTTCACAAATTTTTGTTTCCATGGAAAAATTTTTACCAAATGAAACTATTAAAAAGGTCTATCATTTCTCTACAAAATGGCTTTTTAAAGAAAGCTCAAACAAAAATATCGGTGATCCTTTCTTCTAGGCCGATAAGCTTTTTGCCTTTTGAGCAAAGTAACAGTTTCCCCTTGAACCTTGTGTTCCGTCTTTTGCGCAAGTTGCTGAAAGGATGCTTCTTGTTACATAGATTTACCATATTCACTTACCAAAACTAAACAAAAAAGCTACTCCAAAACAATAGAACAAAGAAGAAATTCATCTTGAAAACCGAAAAGGAGAAAGTTATTTATGAAAACATTTGTTTTAGTGAAATCAATAGGCTTAGAAATTTTCAAATCAAGATAGTAAGCGATTTTCTGATGCGCTTTACGATAGCAAATAAAAAAAAATGACATTGAAGAAAACGTTGAAGAAAAAAGAAGAAGAAAACTTATGTAAACACTGAGCTATTGAAGCGTAACTTGAAGATTCATTTGACCGCTTTATTTAAACTTTTTCTCGAAATGAATGATGGATGGCTATGAGAACGGCTACGAGAATGGTTCGATGATGGGAAACAAAAATGAAAATTAGAGTTAAAACCGGGTGTTGCTTAAAAATACAGTAAAATGCAGAACTTCTGTTACGCTATAATATGACGGAATAGAAAATTAACAAAAAAAGCTTTGAATTTCTCCAATTAAGACAAAATTGACGGTAATGCGCTGTCAGTTGACAAATTCAAAACTATACAGCAATTTCAAAACTATACAACTTCGTGGCCTACAGGGTGACCAAGAATTGCCGCAACAACTTTTTGGAAGAGTATCTGGGAAATGTCTAATTTATTTCAAAAGTGGCAAGTGTTATACAGGGAATTGTAGGCCTAATTCTCGGCAACATTTATCTACCAAAAAACATCCCGATTGGACTTATACAACTCATTTAACAAGCGCTAGTCGACATCTCTCCGGCGAATCTGTCATTTGGCCACTTTTCTACATGAAAAAATTTCATTCGGAAAAGTCTTTCTCAGTCAAATTTGTGGTAATTTTGCCCAAAAAAAATTGTTTTCAACAAATTCATAGCGCCAGAACAGCTGATATAACGAGACACGCATCTGAACTGAATATCGAAAATACTCAATCTTCCTTGAGCTTGACATCAACTTAAATTTTGTTTATGCCAGTCCAGCCAAAACAATTAAGTGTGATTCCTAATGTTATTAAGTGATATTAATTAATTAATTAATTAATTAAACGCTATTTTTGCATTGAAGAAATATTGAAAAGCTTTTCTTAACAATTTTTACTAGAGAAAAATGGCCAAATGACAGATTCGACTAGACAGATTCGACAAATGACTAGCGCTCATTCAAGCGCTTGTTAAATGAGTTGTATAAGTCCAATCGGGATGTTTTTGGTAGATAAATGTTGCCGAGAATTAGGCCTACAATTCCCTGTATAACACTTGCCACTTTTGAAATAAATTAGACATTTCCCAGATACTCTTCCAAAAAGTTGTTGCGGTAATTCTTGGTCACCCTGTAGGCCACGAAGTAGTAAATTGCCATATTTTCAGATACTCACTCAAAGAAAGCCCCAAGATTTTCCAGGGTATCTCCCTGAAGGTTACCGTGTATTCAACCGTCTGCTCTACCGCACCATTTTGCAGTATCTTTTTGTTATTTCATTTCAATGCAAATTTAGGGCATTATGAGCACCCGTTGGCAAGAAAAAAAGAAAAACAAGAAAAAAAGCACAAGGTTGAAGTAATTGTTATTTGTAAGCATGCTATTGACAGCTTGATTTTCAAAAGCATTCGAAATTGAGGCCAAGTAACCATAAAGACTAAAAGTGAAAGATAAAACTTGAAATCAAAACCAAGAATGGTTATTTAAAGCAAAAATGCTTAGCTCTGTTGAAAGTGTCATTGTACTGAATGCCGAAGTAACAATTTCCCCTAGGACCTTGTCCTCCGTCTTATGCACAAGCTGCTGAAAAAATGCTTCTTGTTACATAGATTTACCATATTCACTTACCCAAAATAAACGCAAAAAAGCTATTCCAAAACAATGGAACAAAGAAGAAATTCATCTTGAAAATCGAAAAGGTTTCTAAGCAATCTCGGCATTCATAAGCCGCTTTTTAACCCTTATTCACTCCACTATCAAATATTTCGCTAGTAAAGATAGTTTTAGTTTTAAATTCTTTTTGCCTGCTTGGAACTGCTGAAAATACGCCAGTAATGTTTATTTGTACACGGATTAAAACTTCGAAGATCTCAACATTATGAAAAACTCAAAAAGATGATTTTCTTTTACAAATAGCGGCTCGCCAAGTCAGTCCACAGGAGGCATCGTTCCATTTTTGGGTATCCGATGTTGAATCTTTCAACATAGATGGGTTGTCAGTGTAGGTCTTTAAGAATAACGATCTTTATAGATTGAGAATTTTTAATCTAATCGTATGTAGATATTATAAATTGCATTTTACTAAAACACATAAAACTTTCGATTCAAGAGTGTAATATTGGGTTGGGGAGAATGAGTCGGCGCCAAACTTTAAAGGGACTTTTTGCACACATAAAGCCTTCTTTAAACATACGTTTGGTTTCATCGAAAGGATCCACTATTTCTCTACAAAATGACTTTTGAGAGATTCCACAAAGCTTTTCTTTCGTGGAGTTTATGAACTTCCAAACGCAGCTGGTTAAAATGGCAAAGAGTCCGACTCATCATTTGAACAGTTTCTTTCACATAAACCTTCTTTGGTGTTTATATAAAAAAGATAGAGCACATTCAATTACTTAAGTTGCCAAATTTGCAGGAAGATCCCACCAATGGTTTTTTCTAGATGACAGTTTGTAGTTTTTGTGAAAAAATGGTTTTTTCTTGAGCGGAGGCGCTGTTTGAATTTTCTTTTAAATGTCATTTTGTAGAGAATTAGTTAACCATTCTACTGATATCAAACGCATATTATTTGACGAAGGCTGCTAGAAGTTTTAGACATTTTTTTGATTTTCGGCGCCGACTCATTCTCCCCAACCCAATAATATTAGGTGCAGGGCATAAGAAATGCGAATTTCAACATTTTCATAAATTTCCAACAAACCTGATATCGATGAATATTATATACTGTTTGAAAGTTGTAAATCTCCTCTACAAAATAGGCTAAAACGTGTTTCAATTGATGGAACCATTGAAGAAATTTCGAGGGCAAAATGCGAGTGACCAAAAAAGAGCACTTTTCACTCCCCAGGCTCCCCACTTTCACAAGAGTTCGGTTTTGACTATATAGTGGAAAATGACCGCCCTAAAATCATTATCCTAAAAATATCATTAAAAATAATTAAGAGTTGGGATCATTTCATGGGAAAACTTTGTTTTTACAATAATTTTTCTTTTTTGTGAAAAAGCTGGTTTTTTGACAATTTTGAGGGTTTGGAACTTACGCTCTATCTAAATTTCTGTAAATGCATTTCCGTTAGACTTTTTTAATGCATTGATATATAGTTATCCTTTTTTTAAATCTTCAAGTTTGTGAAGCTAATTCTATTTTGACCACACTAAACTTGTCCCTAAAGTGACTCGATTCCTTTTTTTGGTCACTCGCATTTCGCCCTCGAAATTTCTTCAATGCTTCGATCAATTGAAACACGTTTTTGCCTATTTTCTAGAGGAGATTTACAACTTTCAAACAGTATATAACATTCGATATCAGGTTTCTATCGTTGGAAATTTTTGAAAATGTTGAAATTCGCATTTCTTATGCATGTACCTAATAGTTTTAGAAGTGAAGCCAAAATCATGGGATTCGCTCAAATAAGCTACTTACCTGTGGCATCGTTGATAAAGTTTAGGTTTCAAGAATGACTGTATTTCTGTAAGAAACTCACCTCAATACAGAACTCTCCTCCGTTCACATTGTTTGGCTCTCCCCGGGCCCATTTTGTGTAGTTCCACGGTGATCCATCGATCCACATCCATTCGCTTGCACCCGGACCAGTCTAAAGTGTTCGTCCTCGTTTTACCAAAACAAAATCCAATGTTTTTCTTGGAATAAATAATATTATAGGTATTATATTCTTACGTCAACCTATTTTAGTAAGTTCTTGCGGTTCTTAAATTTGTGATTTCTTAAAAATCAGCCAAACAGTTTCATCTAAAATTTCTACTGAATAATTTATAAGTATATGCTAACTAGTAGCCAAGATGTGATCACGATTGCTTGGTTGAATGAGCCAGTTGATGTGTGTGTTTCACTCTTTGTGCTTAGCTCTATAGAAACACTTATGAAAAACAGGATCCAGAACATTTTTTGAAGGATTCGTCAACCTAATTCTCTCGATATAACCATTGTTATCAAATTTTGGCTACTAGTTAGCATATACTTGTAGATTATTCAGAAGAAATTTCAGATGAAACTGTTGACGGGTTTCTAAGGAAACATAAATTTAACTTATGGACAATCTTAATATTTATATTGGGTTGGTGAATTGAAAACTGCGGGACTTTGAACTAAAATTTATTCAACATAAAACCATCAATTCATTCCAAATAATTTCTATTATTATTGACGACTTCTGCCCATTTTACAGGCAATTTGCGGATTCCTCTGTCGTAGTAGGATTTTGGTTTGTGTGTGAGACAAGTGCGAGACTCAAAAATAGAGGGCTGGAGATGTCCCAGTTTGAGCACTTTCTTCAAAAGAAACCCATTTTGGTGTCAATAGAAAAGTTGTAGAGAATCAAAAATTAGGCTTATAGCCAAATTTCCAAAAAGATACACTTAGTAGTTTCGCTTAAAGTGCAAGTTTTGTGAAAATTCGTAAATTTGGCATTTCTTGAAAACCAGTTTTTGAATCGTTCTGAAAATTTGGATATAAGCTTCATTTTTGATTTTCTACAACTTTTCCATTAACACCATAATGGGTTTCTTTTGAAGAAAGTGCTCAAACTGTCACATATGACAATAGCCGGCAGTTTTCAATTCACCAATCCGATACGAACCCTTTTCGCTCCAAGCAGTCCACCCTGTACCCCTGTCGTCAACGGTATTCCGAGTTGAAGCACCTCTAAATCTTTGCAAGTTCTTTATTTCTTTCTTTATCTTAATTAGTATATAGTTTTTATCTTTTCCCACCATTGACAACTCGATTCTCTTCATCCGAACGAATTGAGGCCAATGTTGAATCCATTGAAGTGCACTGATCAGCGGCTTGTTGATAATTGGTTCCGTAGATGGCCTAGAATCGATTAAATTCATGAAACTGATTGATTGACTGACTGATTGAATCAGCAATGTCATTGTCCTTCATGTCCCTTCATTGAAATGAAATGTCCTTCATTAAAAACTTACTTTATAGCATGATTGTAAAGTCGAAGAATAAACCCATTCAGGTGGACAAGGCGATTCTTTTGGACAAGTGGGAGGTGCTGGGGTTGTGACGGCTTTCGGCACTGTTGTCAGTTGAGCTGCCGGTGTTGTGGTTGTCTAAAAGAATTCAGATATAACATATGTCTAGCTAGACAGTGATTTGACATAATTTTGAACTCTGACCTTCACATCATCTTTCTCATCTTTCTCCAAACAAATAAATGGTAAAATCGCATTCCACGTAGCTGTTGACCAGTTACCGTTCACCAAATCTAGCACAATTTTGCCTGGTTGTGTACCTAGATTAAAACTATCAGCTGTAAAAAGCAATTTTAGATTACCAGCTACAAAATTTCTGTAGATATCAGGAGATCCGTCAAGCCATTGGATTTTTGAGCCATCATATGTTCCACCAAGCCACACATTTTTCGCATCCTAGCAATGGTTTCTTATATAAACGGGGTTCTGGAGCAGACCGGATTTCACTTTTTCGGATTTCACTAGATTAATTCAAGGTGAGACTGACTTCTCAAATTGGGCTAGATATTAGGTTATCCAGTTATAAATGTGCGTTTTTGAGGGCTTATTCCAAATATTTCTGCAAGTTCACGTGTAGTTTGTCGAGGATCAATTTCGATCGCCTGTTTAAGTACTGCATTATCGATCGTAGGAGGCGGGTGGTCCTCATCTCCCAAAAATTCATTTCCTTCTCGAAATCGTTGAAACCATCGCCGACACTAGCTTTCCGAAATAGCATCTTCCAAAATATTGAGTTGTCCAGTTATGAATGCACGTTTTTACTATTTTGTAAATTTCTCAAGATATCGGACAGATGTATATGAGTGTTATATGGTTTCTTATATAGACGGGATAAGTTTTTCTTTTCGGATTTCACTAGATTAATTCAAGGTGAGACTGACTTCTCAAATTGGGCTAGATATTTTAGGTTAAATAAATTGCATACCTGACTATTGCCTGACTTGGCTTCAAAGCTCAAACAAAGTTTTACCTTGAAGAAACCTCTCGCAAGGTCCAGCACATTTGAGTCATCAACAGCCGATGTAATCGAAGCCAAATTTCCATAAAAGCTGAAAGCTTTTGTTTCAAAGGTTTAGAAGACTAAATTGATAAAAAACCCCAAAATTTTTAAGTTATGCATTTGATTTTTAATCAGTAATCACTTACTATGTTGAGCAAAAGTTATCAGCGCCACTGAATGTCTCATTGAAATTGATTCCAAAGTAACAAGACCCATCAACTGGTTCCTTGATGCCATTCTTCGGACAATGACCACAAGCAAGTTCTAGACTTTCTTAGAAGAGATTTTACTATCTAAACTTACTTGTGGAAAAGAACAAGTAAGAAATAAAGAATAGAAAATTTTGCATTTTCAAATGAATACAGATTGCTGGATTTGATGCTCACTGAAAGAAAATCTGCAAAACAACAGACTTCCTCTATTTTATCAGGCAAGATTGAATGAAAAAATTTTATATTTAGGTCAACAAAGTTTTTACGAGTGACGAAAAATATATTCAAAAAAAGAACGTTGCATGAACTTTACTGATAAGCGATTTAAGGCGAAGGCGGTCATGTGAAATGTGTACTAGGAATTGAATGAGGAATTGCAAATCTCTTTTAAAGCAAAATTTTAGAATAAAGTTCTTGAATCTCCCACTAAATATTGTAGACTAGAAAACGCTTTAAAAATTTATTAGAAGTTGTTGCCTAGAGCTGGTTCCTCTGAAGTAGCGCGATTGAATTGGTTACAATGCTTTGGTTTTATGAATGCATTGTTATTACAAAGTACTAGAAAGATTGTTTATTGCAAATGGCCAAATGAGGAGGAATTTATTCTAATATTTGGCAAATTGCTAATATTTTCGTCACTCGTAAAACTTTGTTAACCTGAACACAAAATTTCCTTATCAATTTTAATTGGTAAAATGAAAGAAATCTGTTGTTTTGCTGATTTTCTCAAATTTTTGCATATTTGATTTTATAAGAACAGTTTATTTCGCTAAAACTCATAGGCTTCCCTTGTGGCGGGCCTGCTATTTACTAGGCTTCGGCTCTGCACATAAGCGGCGCCGTAGGCGAGGCCCGTGAGAGCTTGCAGCACACGTGCCCGCCCGCACCACTCACAACTGCCTATTGAACAAAATATGGCTAGTTTACGCTCCTCCAGATGTAAGAATTGCGCCTCACGTGGTCTCCCAGAGCACCGATTTCCCAGAGACCACAGGTGGGCCAATAAAAACCACGGTGTGACGCAGGTCACTTCCCGGTCGCGCATCACGGGCCAGCACGGACGTCACCTACAGAGCCGCAGTTATGCATCGCACGGCTAACGTGTGGTGCATAACTATGCTTTTTCTAAGGGTTAGAGGTGTTTCCTGACGTTTGAAATGTACCAAATGTAAAAAGAATTAAAACAAGCATGTAAAACAAATTTACTAAATAAATAAACAAGGTGCAGAGAAAAAAAATCCCTCCCGTTATAGGGAAAGTACCCATTTTTCAACCTGAATCAACCAAAAGCTCAAGAGGCCTGCATCGCGAAGCACAGCTGGCTTCTATTCATTTGGCTTAGGCTCAGTTGGCTTCAATTCATTCAGATGAAGAGAATCGCGGCTCATCGCATTAAAAAATGTATGAAAAAGTTGAAAGCTGACTCGAGGATTTAATCGGATTACTTTTTTTTACTCAAATTAAGTCACTCACTATGTTAAGCAAAAGTTATCAGCTCATGTCTCATTGAATTGAGCCATTGAATGTCTCATTGACGTTGATACCAAAGTAATAAGCTCCATCTAGTCCCTTGATGCCATTTTTCGGACAATGAGCTCCGACAAGTTCTAAATTCTTCTCAAGCAAGTATTTCAGTTTTTCATACCTATCTGAACAAAACTCCAAACTAGAAATAGAATTTTAAATCTAAATATCTAGTCATTGTTAATTAGTTGGTAACTTAAACTTCAATTTATCAGGAAGATGATTTCGACAACCTTTGAAATTTGTTAGCAATTCTTTGTCAACAATTTTTTTGACGAAATAAATCAAAATATTAGCTTTATATAAGAAGTGAGATCACTGTTTTGCAGAAATGCAGAAATGATTGATAAGAGGGTTTTTGAAAATAAGCTTTTTAAACCGATGAAAAATCGGTAAACACGGAGCTCATTAGGTCAATAATCATGGAAAATTTTAAAGCTTGCATTGAATCATTGAATCATTGAATCATTGAACCAAAAGTGAAATCATTTGTTTTGCAGAAACATGGAGAAGCTTTTTGCTTCATCAAAGAAAATTTTGCAAGCAAATTTCAATGTTTAAACTGTTTTACTTTGTTTGGGCGCTTTATCTCAAGTTTTAAAAGTTCAAAAGCTTTATTATGTACAATGAAAGAACAAAGGGAGTTTGAAAATGACAAAATCGAATTCATTTACAATATTTACATAGTTAAAACTTTTACATTGATGTCTATGTGTTCACAGAAAGTTTGATTCAAAACGGTCGATTTTGGAATCGATGCGGTCTTCACATTGTAAAATACAAGCTACCGTAATTCTTCTAATAGAAGTCCCCCCGTACAGTCACGTAGTCTACCTGACGTTTTACAAAGACATTTTCCTCAGCCTTCAGATTTCTCTCAATAATGTTTTTGGTTACAAAAAATACTAGATTAGAAAGCCTATCGTTTGACATTCAAACGCACATTCTAACATAAAACAGCACGGAGAACGGAGCGTGTAAAGTTAGACTACGCGACAATACCCCAATGATTAATGGATCCTCTGCTTTTTAGCAAAATGCTGATGCCGGTTTGGTTGTGGAAGCCGAATCGCGAGGTCGCTAGGTACTATTTGGGATTTCAAGGCAGAGTAGCGCTCAGAGCCACAACAGAGCAACGAGGAGTATTGTGGATGCTGTCATTATAGGGGAGAGATGCTATTAGAATAATTACGGTAGTTAGATAACAAAGAATCAAGTTTACTATTTGGGATTTAGCAGAATAGCGAATAGCTGAGGCAGAATAGCGCTCAATCCATTTGCTCACCGTTTTAAACAGTCGGTGGAGTTGGATCACCCGATCCTGGGTTCATCGTAGGCTGCTCTGGGGGATCGGTTGTTGGTCGAGGATCAATGTGACTATAGGTTGTTGACGGGAGAAGCGTTGTGGTTGTGGTTATATGACAAGGTGGATGAACTGTGGTCGTCTCGCACACCGGGCAATCCGGGCAAGTCGATGCAGGCAATGTTGACACAACAACTGTTGTCGTAATCTAAAGTTTTCGGAATGATTGAATTGAAGAGTCATTTCTAGTTCCGTTAGGTACTAAGTTACAGTATTCTGTCGCACTAAAAGTCTGAGATAAAAGTTCGCCTGAGTTTGCTAGGTTGAAGAATTCGAAAGCTATTCGAAAGCTAGCTATTCACCACATTGTCTAAATCCTTTGCTATTCAGCTTACTGTAGTTAAGATTAGAGATTGAAAGTTGATAGCATTTCCAGCTTCCAGAACTTACAGGGGTTCTCTCAATGCAAATGAAAGGCAGCAACTCGTTCCAGGCGGCTGTTGACCATTTTCCAGTGTCCAAGTTCATGATCAAATTTCCAGCTTCGGTACCTGAAGCTTGACGTATACTTTCAAGCACTTAATCCAATTCAAATACCTGCAACCATATTGCTAAAAGTGACAGGAGATCCATCAAGCCAAGTGATATTATGTCCATCAAAAGTACCGCCAAGCCAGATGAAGCGGGCTTCCTAAGAATATGGCTTTAAATCAGCTTTAAACCATCTTTAAACCAGCTTTAAACCATCTTTAAACCAGCTTTAAACTCACATCGCAAAGCTCTCGACCCAACTCCAGGACTTTAACGTTGTCGGCTTCTGAAGGAATTGAAGCCAAGTTTGCGTAAAATCTAGAACTTATCGTGCTCTACTAGGGATTCCTTCAGAGGCTATATTCTTGAGTTTTAGGAAGCCCGCTTCATCTTGCTTGGCGGTAACTACAGGTTGATTGCAAATAACTACAGATAGATTCCAATTGAGGTAATGCTTTGACTAGTGTTTGGCTGAAAAACTCACTCTCTACAGAACTTATCCGCTTTTCTGAAGGACTCGTTAAAGTTGACGCCAAAATAGCAGCTGCCCGGCGTTGTTCCAGAGATGCCGCTTTTTGGGCAAATCGCTTCAGACAAGGAGACTAAAGCTTGGATTTCAATTATGATAATGCATTTGAAGCTGTGAAAACTTAAATTGTTTGAAAAACTCACTCAAGAATACACTTGTAAAATTGAATACTCTTGTAAAGTAGAATACAACACTCGTTCGAACCATTTCAGACCAATTTTAAACCTTAAAATGAGTCCCTCACTCAAAGAAGAGAGCTTTTATACAAACGATTACTTTGCTGTCAACAAGTTGAAGCCAATTCCCCTGAGCTTTCAAAATTATTGTAAAAGTAAATTGCAAAACAAAAATGTCTGTGATAACAATGTTTTCAAAGCATTATTTACTCAAAAGCTTCTTTTACAAGCAAAAAATGTTATCATTTTCAATTAGAGAAAATCCCAGACGTAGAGAAGGATTTTGAAATTGAAATTGAAACATTTACGTCAGGAAAGTGGTGTACAATAGCAATTTAACAAGGCTTAGAATAGCAAGCTAGCAAGGCTTACAATAGCAAGCTAACAAGGCTTACAACAGCAAGTTAACAAGTCTTACGATAACAAGTTAACAAGGCTTACAATAGCAAGCTAGCAAGGCTTACGATAACAAGTTAACAAGTCTTACAATAACAAGTTAACAAGGCTTACAATAACAAGTTAACAAGGCTTACAATAACAAGCCAACAAGGCTTACAATAGCAAGCTAGCAAGGCTTCAGAAAAAGAACCAATAAGCTAGCCAATGAGATTGAAGCCTCGATCTCCCGACTAAGATACAGGGCTCCTAGCCAGTCGGCCATGACGGCAGTCGGTGATTGATCTGATACATTCGATATAAAGATCGGGTCAAGAATTGCCCTTGATTTAGTCTATAGCAAATCAAAAAATTCCTGGAATTACAGGAAGAAGAACTTTCTCAAATGGAGGCTGATCGTTTCTCTATTCAAGCTTGCATCGACGCAAAGGAAGATGTTTTTGAAAAACGTGAATTTTCTGTTTAAATTGTTTCAGTTTTGAATTGTGTTTATAAGTTTTTGGCTCTAGGCCGTAAAGTATATTGATTGCCAGAATTCTGCCCCATTCTGTAGATCGATTCAGCCAAAGTCTTGCTAAGACTGGTGTCTGGTTTCACCGTATATACTGTAATAGTACCCCAGCCCCATAATGACGGTGCAGAGTGTTGCGTAGTCTAGCTTTGGACGCGCTTTTCTCGACACTGGTTTATGCTACAATGTGCGCTTAGGTATCAAACGAAAGCTGAAATTCAGGGCTATTTTTTGATACCAAAGACGCATTTTTTGGAAGTACGAAAGTACGAAAAAACGAAATACTAAAAAACTTTTGCGACTACGCGACTGTACGAGGGGGATGGGGTACTATTACAGTATTTACGGTAACTATGAATGGTTTTCTCACAATGACAGTGTGTCACAATCTCTATTTCAATAACAGTGACTCAAAAGTCAAGCGCATTTCGTTCAAATCAATCAATGAAGACAATGAGCAATATGTTTGGAATCCATTTCACGTGGCGCCTTTCTCTCTTTTGAGCTATGGAAATTTCCCTGAAAAGTCTCTTGTTTTCCGCGCACCCGTTTGATTGGATTGAGGTGAATGGTTTGGTGGTTTGATGTGAGCAACCCGTTGAACTAATGATCTCTTATCTCTGGCGAAGAAATATGCAAAGAAATCGGAGAAAAGGAGAAAGACAATCAAAATTTCCCTTTCAATCATCACTAGGGTGCATCATGGTATGCTTTTTCTGGAATCTCTGGCAGTGCAATTTTTTGAATCTTTCCAGCTACACTCTAATCTTTAATCTTTTCGGAAATCGCTTGTGCTTTGAATGTGGAAACTTTTCCTGATTGGTTGTGTGCTGACAGCGATCACGAATTTTCCCGGTAAGATTAGATTCGTGATTTGATTGACAGAGCGCACATCTTAGGTTCTTAGTTCTTGATGCCAATGGGTTTCTTTTGAAGAAAGTGCTCAAACCATATGACAATAGCCGGCAGTTTTTAATTCACCAACCCAATAAAAATGCAATTTTTCTCTTTTCAATAATGTATTTTGAGATGTGACTTTATTGACAATAGCCTTTTGTCTTTTGTCTCTATCTTTTGGTGCAACATTTGTCTTAATATGTACATCATGTAAAAACTTAAAAGCTAGGATTAGCTTTTTGTAATCAGATTGCCATTTAGCTGCTTTCACTCACACCTCTTTGAACACTGCCGTACATCGGGTGGACGAATTCTTTCAAAAGAGCTACGCTAATCGAGATATTGACATCGATCAGCAACATGTGAGCTTCCATCAAAAACACTATCAACGATAGAAACAATGATAGAACTTTTTTCAGCTCATTCTTTTACGCTCGGTTCTGAACTGTGTTTGGTATGGAGGTCAGGTAGCCGGGGCACTCGTCTCACCGCTGATCTGCGATCGATATGGGAGAAAGGGTAAGTATTTGATGTTTTCAATGATTGAGGGACATTTAACAAGCGTCCCGCCCCCTTTGCCATTGGCAATCTAACTTTGAGCTCAAATTTCTTGGTGTCAGGCTGTGCAAATTAAATAGTTTTTGTACCAATCGACAGAGAAAGACTTGGCGTATCTCATGATACCAAGAATACTTAAATTGAATAGCCCAACACCAAGATATTTGAGCTCAAAGTTGGATTCTCAATGGCGAAGGGGGCGGGGCGTGTATAAAAGGTCTTTCTGGCCCCGCCCCTTTTGCCAATCCAACTTTGAGCTCAAATATATTGGTGTTGGGCTGTCCAATTGGAATAGTTTTTGCGACAATCGACAGAGAAAGACTTGGCGCATCTAATGATACTAAGAATATTTAAATTGAATAGCCCAACATCAAGAAATTTGAGCTCAAAGTTGAATTGTTATTGGCAAAAGGGGCGGATCGTCTATAAAGGGTCCCACAATGGCCCCGTTCCCTTTGCCATTGGCAATCCAGCTTTGAGCTCAAATATCTTGGTGTTGGGCTGTTCAATTTAAATAGTTTTTGTACCAATCGACAGAGAAAGACTTGGCGCATCTAATGATATTAAAAATGTTTAAATTGAACAACCCAACACCAAGATATTTGAGCTCAAAGTTGGATTGGCAAAGAGAAAAGGGGCGTAAGTCCCACCCGATTTGGGAAGATTTTATAGTGTGATTCGAAGCTGGACCAAACTTGCCAAGAATCAGGATCAATTTGTTCAAGCGGTTGAGTCAGCCGCTTGAACCACAATCAGAGCTTGCTCAAGCCTATTGTTAATCTTAAGTCACTGACTGAATAGGTTCAAAGCCTTCTGTAGTAGAGAAGAACATAATGCAGGCAGGAGTTTTTCAGCCAGTCAGCCAAGCCAAGCTGAGATGCCACTCCGTGGAGTGGAAGATTGTGGGACATTTAACAAGCGTCCCGCCCCCTTTGCCATTGGCAATCTAACTTTGAGCTCAAATTTCTTGGTGTTGGGCTGTTCAATTTAAATAGTTTTTATACCAATGGGCAGAGCAAAGACTTGGCGCATCTAATGATATTAAAAATGTTTAAATTGAACAACCCAACACCAAGATATTTGAACTGAAAGTTGGATTGGGGGGCTTATCAGATGTCCGATAACCGTTTTCAATTGCTAAAGTGCATTTAAGTTGCATTCACTGTCTCAATCACAATGATGACTTTTGCGGGGACTCTTCAAACCCTTGCTTCACTCACTGATTATCCGGAGGTATTCATTTTAACTATACAGAAGTTTATGATGAGATAAAAGCTGTGAAAGATGAAAAATCATGAACAAATAAAAGTTGAAAGAATAATTGGGTTTGTTTCTGTAAGGGCTTTGTTTCTGTAAGAGCTTTGTAAAGCTTTGTAAAGAAGTCCAAGTTTATGTTCTAGATTTTGATCTTCGGCCGAATTCTCAGCTCCTGCTTTTCTCCTCTCAGCGATGCGGCGCTTATTTTATATTTACAGGTATCTGACAACCTTTTACAAATAAAGAATAGTTAGCTGAAGGAATTTATCATTAAACAATAACCAGGAAATCTCTCCATCCTCCTTTCGTGGTACAATGTCATCTCTTTATTCAACGGGTTACTGTGTGATGGGACTTGCCGGGATGCTCATTGGAAATGACCATGTTTTAGGGTTTGCTTTGAATAAGAATTAGAATTAAGCAAATATTTCAGTCATTCACTGCTCATCTTGTTAGCAGTTCCAGTCATTGTTGGAGTTCCATCAATCCTTTTTTCGATTATCATGCCCGAGACTCCAAAGTACTTATGGCTTTCGAGGTTGGCTGAAAACAAGGGAGTGGGACAAATGCGACCTTTTTTTTTTGCGCACCCGGACATTTGCGCACCTTTTTTTCCGCACCTTGCCCATTGGCGCACCTTTTTCGCGTTTTAAAAAGCTCTAAAAGCTAATATTAACCAATTTCTATTCCAAAAGTTGTTTTTCTAGGTAATTTGAGGGCGTCGAATTCAAATTTTGACATAACAGAGCGTGTGGAACCAATTTGAACGGCTAGACGGCTAGACAAAACGGCTAGGTCAAATTACAGAAAATTGTTGATTTTTCTCTTTGTATAACTCCGTCCGTTCGCTTCCACAAGCTCTGATATGCCAAAATTTCGATTCTACGCCCTCAAATTACCTAGAAAAACAACTTTTGGAATAGAAATTGGTTAATATTAGCTTTTAGAGCTTTTTAAAACGCGAAAAAAAGGTGCGCTAATGGGCTAAGTGCGGAGAAAAGGTGCTCAAATGTCCGGGTGCGCAAAAAAAAGGTCGCATTTGTCCCACTCCCGAAAACAATTCTGAATCAATGATTTTTAGAAAAAATAAGAATCAAGCTATTCGATCGCTTGAGTTTTATCAGGGTCAAGGAGCTGATTATCTCAGTGATTTGGATGAGATGCTACGAGAAGCTTCAGGACAAGAGAAAAACACAGACAAGGCTACAGTATGGTAGCTAGATATTAGCATTGTTATTCAAAGTTTAGAATCTATTCAAGAACACAGCTTTGAAGAAAGCCTTTGGATTATCGATTTGCACTTTGTGTTTAACACTGCCTTTCTATCCATTGCTCCAAAGCAGTACACATTTCTTTACGAGGCTCGGTGTTGAGAGGTAAATAAAAGCAGATCAAAAGTAACAAGTTCAAGAAATCAATTTGGTCAAACCAGTTTAGTGACCCGGCAAGTACAGATAGATGGATGAAATGGGTAAAAGAAAGAGCCACTGTAAAGAGATATTGTTCTCGCTTGGTACTCTTCACTCTAGACACGTTATTTCTTGTTTCGAGATATCTGATCTCACTTGAACTAAAAATACTTTATTCAATAGCCGACTGACTCGGGATCTTTGGGCTCTTGAGCTCTTCTTGAGCTACTTGAGCAATTTTCACACAAGATCGACAATTGAATTAAAAGCGACGATAGAAAACAGAAACAATTTCGTCCTAATTAGGACACAACTTTCACACAATGAGAGGAAAGCAGAAAGAAAATGAAAGATAACCAAACCAAATGAACAACAGTTGCCTTATATAAGCTTTAACACAAGATATTCAGCTAACAAGCTACAAAACAATAAATGATAAAACAAGGCTTTAATACCTTGTATAGGCTTTAACCCAAGAAAACCTATAGGCTTTAACACAAGATATTCAGCTAACAGAAGCTAACAGAAGACGCGAAACTTTGGCACAAAGGTAAATCGATTACGAGAATTCGAAATCTGTAATCTGTTTTTGCTGACGGGCCATGGTGTTCGAGATATAAGCGTGCAAAGTTTTGGCAAATTTCGCCAGACTGTCACCTTATACAAGCCTATAAAGGGGCACCACGACGACAGGAAGGAAGAGCAGCGGCTGTCTACTGGATAGTGCGCTAGTCTACAAAACCTATAGGCTTTAACACAAAGAAAAACTATAGGCTTTAACCCAAGATACTCAGCTAACAAGCTACAAAACAATAAATGATTTGGGGCGCGAAATAGAATGAAGGCGCACCGATTTCCTCAATATTTCTCCAATTTTTAGGCTGCCAGAGTTAGGTAAATTTTTAGTGGCTATTCGCCACAGCCACAGCCACAAAATCTAGTAAAAATGCAATAATATGGAAGGTTTTGCAGGAGTTTCGCTCAATTGTCTTCTTCGGGTCTTATGGTTGCGCTCACGATTTCCTGTATCTGTTCAACGCTGCTCATTGATCGCTTACCCAGAAGATTTCTTTTGCTCTCAACAGGTTCAAAATTTGAAAAGAAAAGAATTTCTCCAGTTTTTCAGGGTTCACTGGAATCGCCGCGCTTTCTCTCTTCGTCGCCTTTGCTTATTTCGAAAAAGCGCTTGAAGCACTAGCAGCTACTTTTGTCTTTATTTTTGCATACGGGTGAGCTTTTTAAATGTAAATTTAGCCAGTAAGTAGTTCATTGGTGTAAATTACGAATAAAATCTGCCAACTCTTGACTTATACAGTAAACTTCAGGTTTGGAATTGGTCCAATTGGATGGATGATTCCAGCAGAATTGGTCCCACTTTCCAACCGGTAAAGATAATCAAATTTTCGCTTAGATAAACAAAATTACTTTCAGATCCGTAATGTTTTGTTCTTGTTACGCTGTGCATAGCATATTCGTCGTCATCACCAGCTTTATCACGATTCCGTTATTTGATGTGAGACTTAAGTTACAGTACTGGACAATATCATATTTGAAAAACGATCGTCACTTTCGTGCGTCTATAACTCCCTTGTCTTTACCGTATTTCTAAATATTAATATTACCATTGTGTAGCCCTTGAAAAGAGCTTTCAGAAAATGTATAACACTAATAGTTTAAACTCAAAGACAAGGGAGTGACAGACGTGCGAAAGTGACGATCATTTTTCAAATATGATATTTCATTGTCCAGTACTGTAGATTGAAAGTACTGTAGATTGATTTGTCTACAAAACTGAGAGACTCACTTTTTCTAGTGGACTGGATTTGTCATTTTCTTGTAGCAGTAAAGCGGTGCTGTACAGAGATGTTTTAAATGGAGGCTGGAGTCGTAAGCCAATCGTAAACCAGACAAGAAACCAGACCAGAATCCAAGCTCAAACTTGGCTTTTAACCTAGGGAATTTATTGCTAACAATAAGACGAGGCGAGGTCAGAAGGCAGGCTAAAACCTAGCTTCCAATCTTTGTTAGTAAACTTGCAGTAAAGCCAAGTTAAATTGTTCAGATTGGTCTGGCTTGGTCTAACCTAGCCAAGCCAATGCCAAAGCCAAAGCTGAAATGCCATTACGTATGTAACCATTACGACAAATGTTTTAGATTTATGGGTCACTATGCTTTGTGCCAATTTTCATCATCCCATCGATCATTTGTCTTCTTTATGTTATGTGGCATTTACCGGAAACAAAGGTTAGTTTAGTCTGCTTTTGGAACAAGGGATAATTAGGAACTGAATAGGAACTAAATAGGAACTATAAAGTAACCAAATAGGACCTATAGAGGAACTAAATAGGACCTAAATAGGACCTAAATTGGACCTAAATAGGAACTAAATAGGACCTAGGCAATCCTTTTCCAGACTTCCTGATTGTAAACTAAAGGATAATAGCATAATCTCAACCAAGGCTTTGTTCTTATCTAGCTAGCAGTCACATAAACGAAGAAATCAAGTCTGGGATCGGACAGCAATTGATTGAAGGACAGCAATTGATTGATCATGCAAAGTTTAGGGTCGAGAGATTAACGATATTCTTTTGGATCTACAAGGAAGCAAAAACGCAAGGACGCATGTCGCTGACATGAAAAGCGAACAAATTTAGTCTTTTTGATATTTCTAGATATCAAATTTTGTTATTTAACGCCGGTGATTTATTTGTGCATTTGTTATTAAGTTTACTTGAAAGATTTATTGTAGGAAACTGAAACAAAAACTGAAGCATAAGAATGATTTCTTTTAAAAAAGGAAAGAATAACAATCAATAAGCGAAGAAGATTTAAAAAAGAACTATAAATAAGTTAACTTGGAAAAAGATCTGATTAAAATGACCAAAAAGAACTCTCAACTTCCTTCCAACAATGAAAAGAGCCGAGAAAATCATGAAGAAGGCCTAGAAAGTTTTTAGATATTGGGTGGTGAATTGAAAACTGCCGGACTTTGAACTAAAATTTATTCAACATAAAACCATCAATTCATTCCTAATAATTTCCATTATTATTGACGACTTCTGCCCATTTTAAAGGCAATTTGCGGATTCCTCTTTCGTAGTAGGGTTTTGGTTTGTGTGTGAGACAAGTGTGAGACTCAAAAATGGAGGACTAGAGATGTCCCAGTTTGAGCACTTTCTTCAAAAGAAACCCATTTTGGTGGCAATGGAAAAGTTGTAAAGAATCAAAAATTAGGCTTATAGCCGAATTTCCAAAAAGATACACTTAGTAGTTTCGCTTAAAATGCAAGTTTTGTGAAAATTCGTAAATTTCGGATTTCTTGAAAACCAGTTTTTAAATCGTTCTGAAAATTTGGACATAAGCTTGATTTTTGATTCTCTACAACTTTTCCATTGACACCAAAATGGGTTTCTTTTTAAGAAAGTGCTCAAACTGTCACATATGATAATAGCCGGCAGTTTTCAATTCACCAATCCAATACGAACCCTTTTCACTCCAAGCAGTCCACCCTGTACCCCTGTCGTCAACGGTATTCCGAGTTTAAGCACCTCTAAATCTTTGAAAGTTCTTTATTTCTTTCTTTATCTTAATTAGTATATAGTTTTTATCTTTTCCCACCATTGGCAACTCGATTCTCTTCATCTGAACGAATTGAGGCCATTGTTGAACCCATTGAAGTGCGCTGATCAGCGGCTTGTTGAAAATTGGTTCCGTAGATGGCCTAGAATCGATTGAATTCATGAAACTGATTGATTGGCCATTTGCGGATTCTTCTTTCGTAGTAGGATTTTAGTTTGTGTGTGAGACAAGTGTGAGACTCAAAAATCGAGGACTGGAGACGTCCCAGTTTGAGCACTTCCTTCAAAAGAAACCCATTTTGGTGTCAATGGAAAAGTTGTAGAGAATTAAAAATTAAGCTTATAGCCAAATTTCTGAAAAGATACACTTAGTATTTTCGCTTAAGATGCAAGTTTTGTAGAAATTCGTAAATTTGGCATTTCTTGAAAGCCAGTTTTTGCAGTGTTCTGAAAATTTGGATATAAGCTTGATTTTTGATTCTCTACAACTTTTCCATTGACACCAAAATGGGTTTCTTTTGAAGAAAGTGCTCAAACCATATGACAATAGCAGGCAGCCTAGCAGGCAGTAGCAGGCCTCAAACCATATGACAATAGCTCAATTCACCAACCCAATAGAGAAGAAACGATTCTGATGGTTTAAACTCAACTTTTATGATCCAAGCTGCAGTGATAACTGAAAATTTGTGCGATAACAAAGTGTTCATGTTCTCAAATTGTTCAAGTTATTCATTTCGTCTGTCATTTACTCCAACTGTTACAGTGATTCTTGAATAACATTATCAACAATATACTCTATTGAAACTTTGCAATTTCAAACACTTTTAAACTGGTTCACTTGTAAATACAAAAAAATTTAAACAAAAACATTAAACGAATCAGCATAATGAATGGTTTATCCCGAGGAAGAAAGTCTTCCTTGACAAAGAGCGATTTGCTTCATTTGATCGGTTACTCTAAAAGCAAATGATTATTTTTTTAAAATTTTGTATTGACTTCACGTTAAGCTAGAGATATTTTCATTTGAAATCTAAAAAAATACCTAAACATTGGCCCATGTCCAGGCACGATCCAGTCCGAAGCACAAAGAACACGATTTCGGCTGAGTCTTGCTGAAATCAATTTTTCATATTGAAAAGTAAAAGAACGAAGGATTTGCAGTTGACGCTTTAACAAAATTTAGATTTAGAAATTCTAGTACTTGTCGTTTATACATTCACAGAGACTCAACCAAGTGTTTGAAGTTGAAAACAAAGTTTTTGAAGTTACAGGATACAAGACTAGGATACAAGACTCCTAACTAGGATACAAGACTCCTAACTAGGATACAAGACTCCTAACTAGGATACAAGACTCCTAACTAGGATACAAGACTCCGAACTAGGATACAAGACTCCTAACTAGGACACAAGACTCCTAACTAGGATACAAGACTCCTAACTAGGATACAAGACTCCGAACTGAAAGTTGAAAACAAAGTGTTTGAAGTTGAAGTTTGAAGTTCCTTGCTTCCAAGTTATCACTTCCAAGAAGTTCCAAGTTTTCAGCAAGGAGCTGACAACTTTCGAGGGATGATTATGTTTAGTGAAGTAGAGCGATCGCCTGAAGTGATCAGTCGATCAGTCGAACGAAAATCGATAACCGAGAAGACTCGGATGGGGATGCTTAACCGAGATGAGTCTTTGTGGAGGTATAAACCGACAAGTACCTTGACAAGTACGACAAGACAAAGTACTTATGCCAATGCAAAAACTAGGTTAATCGCCAGAATGGCAACCTAAAGCCCGGTTCATTGCCGCGTTCATCGAAACGGTCGAATTGAGCACATCTTGAGCATTCCAGATGAGATCGCCTAAATGAATAAGTTCATAACATATTTGAGAAGATTTTTGCACTTAAAATCAATCTATCCTAAGTCCTCTATTAGGACTTAGGGTAGATTAGGACCTCTATCACCTCCGCTATTAGGACCTCTATCACTTCCGCTATTAGGACCTCTATCACCTCCGCTATTAGGACCTCTATCACCTCCGCTATTAGGACCTCTATCACTTCCGCTATTAGGACCTCTATCACTTCCGCTATTAGGACCTCTATCACCTCCGCTATATCTGTCTCCGGATAGAGCTAATTTTGACAGCTCACAGGTCCAACTTTTTCCAAAAAAAAGAATTTCTCCAAAGGTGCTTAAAATGATGCATATGAGTCCAAATTATAATTTAAAAGTCAATAAAATTCGAATCGTTTCTTTAAAAAATTCTGGCTAACATTTTTTGAGCAAAAAAAAGGACCACAGAGATTTTGAAGGGTCAGACATCCAGGGATAGAACCATGAACATAACTTTTTATTTTAAATGTCCTTTTTCGTACATTTCAAAGCATTTCCAATCGAAATAAAGTGATTTTATGAAAACAAAATGAAAACAATTTTATGAAAACTACCCCCTTATGTGATTTTTTTGGGCGCTTCTTTTTGCCTTTTTGGTTGTGATTAAAGAATGGTACTGAAAAATAGAGCTTTATGCGCTCTAATAGAGGAATATGTGCAGGTAAATAGGTATTCAACTCACCAACAATAGCCACCGTTCCACAACAGACTGTATTCTTGACAATCAATGAGATATCTTGCCCTGTGTGCCCTGGAGTGCTCCAAACCTCTGTATTAGTTGACATGGTTTTGATATCTTTCTGAAAATAGATTCTAATCTTTGTTGTATTTTCAAATTCTTTTCGTTAAAGTCTTCAAAAAGTCTTCAAAAACCAATTTCAATGTTTACTCTTTTCACTTCCATCTCCTAGCACTAGAACTAGCAAATTAAGCAAACAAAGTATTGAATTGACTGAGTGTTTACTGAGAAATGAACTCACATCATTGAACAACGAAGTATAGAGATAGCTGGATCCGGTACCGTTGAAAACGGTCATCACTCGACGAGCATTTGGGAAAAGATGGTCTTGTCCAAAGTGATCAGGATGACCATGAGTGGTGACAAGATAGTTGATGGAAGCCGGAGTGAGACCGGCTTGTTGGATGCCTAAAAAGAGCAAGTTTTTCATGTGTTTTAGGAGAGACGCTAGTTGAAATTTCAAATAGCACTGAAATGGAAAGAACCCTTATAAACTGGGGTTTGGTATCCAAATTTGCAACGCGTTTATCTCGAAAACCAGAGGGGTTTAGACAAAAAATAAATCCAGTATCCGATTCCTCACGAAATACCTTTTGCTGTGCTGATCTATGCTGATCCAATTCTTCACCTTAAGCTTTGACCAGTACAAATCAAAAAAGTCCGACAAAGTTTTTCCCGAAACGGATCCGAACCCGTGGGTGAAAAGTAAAGCTGAGATTCAGAGCGAGCCCACTTACCATCTGGTCATGCCTGGCTGAAGGGGAAAGAACCCTTATAAACCAGAGTTAGGTACTCAAATTTGCTCGAAATCTCGATAGTCTCGAAATCTCGCATCTCGTTTATCTCGAAAACCAGAGGGGTTTAGACAAAAACTAAATAAAGTATCGGGTTCCTCATGCCCGAAATACTGTTTCTATCATTATCCCGATCCAATTCTTCACCTTAAGCTTCAACCATGCTCTTGTGAGCTTTCCCGCTTTTTTGTCGTCACTATGCGCAAATTTCTCGAAGAAATTTACCCCTTAAATTTGATTGTTTGTCTAAAATGTTTTCCCAAAAATTGACTGCTTTTGTTTTTGTGAGATTTTAACAAACATGGAAAACATAAGAGTAATCAGAAAAGCTCTACCCCGCAACATAAGATCCCGATTTCTGTTATCAAGTGAAGCTGGCGTGTCGACGATGATGTTCACCCCTTGATCCCTCACCAAACTCACCGAACCAACATAGTCAAAGCCCTAGATAGATAAATTTGAACTTGAAACACAAACACAATTAAAACTTGAGCAAGCAAAAGCACCAACATTTTGTATCATCATCATTGATCCAAGAACGATCTGCGTAACGTTTGTTGGGACATTCTGAAGTTCGAGTAAGTTCGGCTTACTAGTTAGAGGGTTTTTCTTGAATAAATGTGTCATAGCTGTCAGTGTTCTTGAATAAGTGTGTCATAGCTGTCATAGCAAGGTAGATAGGTTAAATAAAATGGAAATATTACGGTAGTATTCAAATAGCATCGATAGCATCTCATAAAATGCTAAAATGCTCAAGTTTAAATCTAAAATTCGATTCAAACTTTTGCAAGCTAACTTTAAATTGTTCATTTTTTTATGAATTTAAAATTTTACCTGCCCATTTGCATAGCCGACAATTCCCAGAAGGATAAAACACAAAATTTTGCTCTCCATTTTGTAAACCCAAATAGAATCTCTTCCAAAATGTTCTTTATATCCTTTTCTCTGTTTGCTTTCTGAATTTTCTATGATTTGAAACTTTTATTGAAAACTTTTAAGAATTCAAATAGATTAGGGTAGGCTAGTTGGTCAAATTTACCTTGAAAAGGTGAACTTGGGTGTAGTTTTTGTGACTTTCTTTGCAAATATATCATGGAATGGCGCGAAGAAAAAAATTTTGTGCAAAGTAGCCAAAGGAAAACAAGACTTTAGTCTTGATTTCACCATTGAAGAAATTTCGAGGGCGAAATGCGAGTGACCAAAAAAGGAATCAAGTCACTTTAGAGACAAGTTTAGTGTGTTCAAAATAGAGTTAGCTTCCCAAAATTGAAGTTTTCCCCATGAAATGATCCCAACTCTTACTTATTTTGAATGATATTTGAAGGGCGATCATTTTTCACTATACAGGGTGCCCGATAATTACGGCGGCGAAGAAACAAATAACAAACAAACAAAACAAACAAACAAATTCTCAAACACGTCTCCTTTCGCGGCAATACAGGCCTAAAGGCGCTTTGGGAAGGCATCAATGGTGGCAGATATGTATGGAACATCCAGCTCATCCCATGCCTTTTGCAATGATTTCTTCAAAGAATCGACTGTGGAATGGCCTTTTTTTTGCAAGCTTTTGACTCCAAAACAGACCAAGCACTGTAATCCAAAGAATTCAATTCTGGGCTTGATGGAGGCCATTGGTTGAAAGTGATGAAATTTACAGAAATTTACATAGAGCGTAAGTTCAAAACCCTCAAAATTGTCAAAAAAGCGGCTTTTTCACAAAAAAAAGAAAAATGATTGTAAAAACAAAGTTTTCCCATGAAATGATCCCAACTCTTAATTATTTTGAATGATATTATTTTGAATAATATTTAGGGCGGTCATTTTCCACTATATAAAAGGGGTTTTCAAAAAGTGCCCTTTTTTGGTCACTCGCATTTCGCCCTTGAAATTTCTTCAATGCTTCGATCAATTCAAAAAACGTTTTAGCCTATTTTGTAGAGGAGATTTACAACTTTCAAATAGTTTATAACATATAACATATAACATTCATCGATATCAGTTTCTGTCATTGGAAATTTATGAAAATGTTGAAATCAGCATTTCTTATGCATGTACCTAATAGATAGTTTAAAAGTTCTACGATTTTCTTTTGATATTCTTCGTTGAGCTGAAACAAAATTCAGTTTTTAAGCGTTGACTAACTTTAGAGAAGCGACAGATCCAACCAATAAAGAATATCCGATTCCAATAAACAAAATACACAACTCATGAGCAAAACAACAATTGGCAGTATGAGTATAGAAATAAATGAGAGTTGGCGAAAGTCACAACTGAGCAAATTAAATCTTTCTAGCCGAATAAAAGAGAAGATCTTTCAAAAGTTCCTCGTCTTTTTCGTTTTTTTCGACGATCGCATCAGCCGCTAAAGGTGTTGGCTTCAAGTGGCGCTGAGAATGAAATCCTTTTATGGGATTGAATCGAGTGTTTCAAATGGAACTTTTTGATCTGCCTCTGGTTTTACCTGTCCAGAAATAATTACTCTTGGAACAATTCGTGGGACAAGATTAGAGACCTGAGGCTGAGGCTGAGGCCATGATTAGAGGCCTGAGGCCAAGATTAGAGACCTGAGGCTGAGGCTGAAGCCAAGATTAGAGTTCTTTTTCGTTTTTTTCGACGATCGCATCAGCCGCTAAAGGTGTTGGCTTCAAGTGGCGCTGAGAATGAAATCCTTTTATGGGATTGAATCGAGTGTTTCAAATGGAACTTTTTGATCTGCCTCTGGTTTTACCTGTCCAGAAATAATTACTCTTGGAACAATTCGTGGGACAAGATTAGAGACCTGAGGCTGAGACGGAGGCCAAGATTAGAGTTTGAGATTGAGAAGGAAAAAATGACTTGTAGATCTTATGTTTTGAAATCTCAAAAAGCCAAAATCCAAATGATTATCCAAATTCTAGGATCTGCTGGCATCCGACGATAGTTAGTCAGCTCATTTCATGGATAAGTTCTAGGATTTTGAAATCCGTTAGTTTTATGAGCACTTTGCAAACTCACATGTGTATTTTGCAGATATTTCATCTCTAAACATTCGAAAGCTCTCGGTCTTGTGAGCGGGTTCACATCGAGGATTCGGATCAGTAGCTTTTTCAGCTCACCTTCTGAAAAGTTCTGTTAAAAACCTTTAAAATAAGTTGTGAGCGGTTGTAGTTGTAGTATTTACGAGTGTTGTAGTATTTAGTTGTAGCATTTACGAGTGAAGTGAGCTACTCACTTGTCAAATCCCCTTGATCCTCGTCCAAACGATCCTCCATCGCTTCGTCAAGTTTTTTTTCCAAAATAGCTTCTCTTGTTCCTTCCGAAATCAAAATTGGACCAAATCTGAACTTCTAGAAGTTCAAAATTTCTCTATAAGCTTTCTCTATCTATAAGCTCAACTCACATTTCACAATATTTTGTTGACGGAACTCCAAGCACATTGAGAATCCTCTCTTTGACACAATTGAGCGGATTCTAAATTCTGGATTCGAATTCTGGTATTTTTACAGGTTTTAATTACTAACGAGTGCCTTCTTACAAGTAATTCGTTTTCTAAAATGCATCTATTTTAGAAAAATACTGTAATCAAGCCATCAGTTATAATTTCACAGCTCAATTTTTGTATCATTCGATGAGAAATCTCAAAGTTCAACCAATGATGTCAAAATTTGGCTGATCGAATGTAAACTAACGGTTTGATTACGGCATTTCTAGGTGTCTTTTAGAAAACAGAAGACTTAAAGGTGGCTCACGAATCTTTTCACCTTCTTCATATCGTCATCAGTGGGAAACATGAGCTTACAACCAAGCATCGCAAGCGCCACAAGCCCAGCCGCCCAAACATCCACTGAATGCCTTTGTTGGGTGAAAGATTTGAGTTCTTATTAAAAACAAACCTCCAGAATTGTATGGTTTCTGAAGGATTACTTCGAGTGGTTGATAGATTGGGGGAGTCATCACCTGTTTTGTGTGATCACCAAAAGGATTTGTTTGTCTAAAGGAGAATCTTTTTTAGACTTTTAACAAATCTATTGGCCTAATCCTGTCCAATGGCTGAATATTATGTGATTGCTAGTATTACGGAGCTGGTTGTGTTGTTGTATTGCTTGCTGCACAAGCCTGTATTGCTCGTATTACGAAGCTGGTAGTGTTGCTGTATTGCTTGCTACACAAGCCTGTATTGCGAGTATTGCGGAGCTGTTTGTGTTACTGTATTGCTTGCTACACAAGCCTGTATTGCTCGTATTACGGAGCTGGTTGTGTTGCTGTATTGCTTGCTACACAAGCCTGTATTGGCTAGTATTACGGAGGAGTTAAAGCAGCATTAAACCTGTGCCCGGCTAGTCCAGGATATTCTATTTTACATTAAATGTTAACAACACTAACCCACAACTCCCAAAATCGAGCAACTTTATCTCAAATCCCGTGTTGTTCATTCCAATGTTCTTTGGTGAGATATCCTGAAATTTCATAACTTTAAAGACTGAGTATTTTTACATTTAAAGCAAATAAATCTGGTTAGAAAAGTACCCACCCGATGCATGATCCCTCGTTGATGGAGGAACTCAAGTGCTCGGAAAAGTTGCACAAGCAATGCCACGACACGTCGATGTTTTCGTTGTCCTTCCAAAGAACTTAAACAAACATTATTTTGTTATCCAAAAGAGCTTTCTGCTTAGGTTATAATAATAGTTTAGGTTTCTTTTCTATTTCTTATAATACTAGTTGACATAAATGCTATCAGCATCAGGACCTGATGCTTAACTCATAAAAACCTATCAGCTTGACTCATAAAAACTTTATGAGTCCACCAGAAGACCACCAGAAGTCTGGACTTGATCGGATTTTAGCCTTGCATTGCCTAACTTGAGCCACAAAAAGTTTCTGATAGTGCGCCGGCCGGTAGTCATGTTTGGACCTAGCTTCTTGTCAGGTTCTGACCTTGCCTGATCTATTCTGCTGCAGATCTGGAGCACAAAAAGCTTCACTAGAAGCTTCCTGGGTTCATCAGAAGCCAGGGCTGGCTTAAAGTTTTGTTTAGAAGATCTTTGTGAGTGTTAAACTGCACTCTTGACTCACTTATCTCACTACAGTACTGAATATTCAAAGTCTTCAATGCTTTTTCATAGGTATTTTAGTGAATTTTTAAAACCAACGCAAAGAAATTGTCTAAAGTGTGATTCATTCTTTCGGTTGTAATCAAAACGTAGTGCAGTGATCCATTGGGTCCCTCTTGGTAACACACATCAAACACCTTTACAATCTAAAAATAAATCAATCAGATTTGGTTTCATTTAGGTACAGATTTGGTCGATTTAGGTTACAGATTTGGTTCTATTTTTGCATAGATCTGGTTCCATTTGTTGGCTACATCTATGTACAGATTTGGTTCCATTTAGGTACAGATTTGGTTCGGTGTAGGTACAGATTTGGTCGATTTAGGTACAGATTTGGTTCGCTGTAGGTACAGATTTGGTTCTATTTTTGCATAGATCTGGTTCCATTTGTTGGCTACATCTATGTACAGATTTGGTTCCATTTAGGTATAGATTTGGTTCCATTTAGGTACAGATTTGGTTCCATTTAGGTACAGATTTGGTTCGGTGTAGGTACAGATTTGGTTCGCTGTAGGTACAGATTTGGTTCTATTTTTGGACAGATCTGGTTCCATTTGTTGGTTCCATCTATGTACAGATTTGGTCGATTTAGGTACAGATTTGGTTCCAGATTACAGATTTAAAAAGAAAGCTTTTCGACATTTTCTAGAGTTTAAACTTTTAAACTCACATTTGGATGAACTAGAAATCGAGTATTGTGAACTTCTCTCAACAATTGCGTGAACGTGTTTGGAATACTTCTTTGTCGAAGATTTTGGATGTCATATCTGAAATAATTGCCAAAAATCAAAAAGTAACTGTCGACTGAAATTTTTGCTGAAAAAAATTGAATTTTTGTACATTTTCAGAGTTCTAAAAGTTCATGTAAAAATTTTGATTCTAGCTTTGGACTTTTACCGTTCTTAATAATGTATACCGGGGTTATCGGTGATTTATTTTGCATACACATAATCATAATTTACACATTGAGACCTAGGAACTATTCTAACGTTTGTGAGGATGGGACGATGTAGGAGACGATGTAGGAGGAGAAGGCTCTTCGCTTTATATGAGCTTGCGCTTTAGGCAAGTCTACTCATTTGGATCCCTGGTTATCCCAATCCCGAGGGGAAGGGGCCTAGGGGGGCCGGACTTGGCAACCAGTGCACCATATGGTTATACGGTTACCTACAGCACTCGATTATACGGTTACCTACAGCGTTCGGTTTAGCGAACATTGATTGAACCCTGATTCATCTTCTGGATTCGAACCAGAGACTAACCGAGGTCAGCTTGGCAGATCTGATGGGATACCATGTTTCAACGTGGCGAGGCCGTAGTTATCTTTCCTGTTATATTTCGGTGTCAGAGCTGTTTCAAAAAGTCAAAAATCGCGAATGTATAAGCCAAAGCCAAGTCCAAAACGAACAATTTAGCTGGCTAACAATAAGTTACCCTATTCTCTTAAATAGTAGTGCACCCCGCCGATGACTTGATGACTAATTTACGGTTTCTAAGTTTTCGCAGAAGCTCAACACTCTAATCCCCCACAAGATCTTATCGTCAGCTACATTTTCCGACCCCACATCAATATGTTCTGATAAGCCGTTCTCGAGATTTCGAGTAATTTAGGCAATGCTTATGGCGTGCTGCTATTATAGAGAATACGGTACCTACAATTGACTTGGCTTTGTTTTACTGGGCAAATAGATATCAGGTTTAGTACTGGTACTAGGATTATCTTTGTTTTTCACTCACCTCTTCACAGCCACATTCTTCGTCACTCCATCTTTTGTATAAGTTGCAGCCCTGCAATTTGCAAGTGTTAATGATAAAGATTAAATGCTAAATAAAAGTTGTGGTGTGTAAATGGAAAATAAGTTCAAAACTCACAACACAATTGCTTGAGCGCCTCGACCGATTGAGTGGAAAACTCCGGACGCAATCCTTGCACTTCGGTAACCTTGATCATTCTTAAGACGTAAAACTTTTCTAACTCTTTATATTGAATCTACCTCTTGCGGTGAGTATTCGGGCGGCATTCGGATATCTCTCGTGATCACATTTCCCTTTACAACAAAGGAATATTTGCCAGGACCTTCATTGTCTTCCATCGAAGCGCTAAAACTGTTAACAATCAAATTTCTAAACTTTATTTGTTAAGGTTTTATTCTTAATTGCATTGTAAGAAATCAAATTTTGCAATTAAAAAACTCAATAAATTTAAATCATTCAAAGAAAACATAAATTAATTTAAAAAAAGGAACAGATGAGGAAATTATTAAAGCAAAATTAGGGGTAGGCTAGTTTCCGCAACTTTTTTTGTGCAACAGGGTCATTTGCGCAAGTCGTCATAACTTTCTTCTAAGTAGGCCAATCTTTATGATTTTGGTCTCATTTTGTAGATCTCAATAAGTGCAACAAAATAACCCATATATTGGCTTTGAAATGGCTAAATCCTTCTGGATTTCTTCAACCAATCACCAGATTCGAAAAGCTCTTTTATGATTTGTCGCTAGTGAAAAGTTATGTAATAATCAGCGTTTTAACCAAAGATTCTTGTGGAGAAAACTAGAGTGTGTTCCTCGCGAGTAAGTAATTACTCGAGTAAATTTGCATGAGTATTTGTCGAGTAATGCGTTTTCTAGTTTCTTGCGAAGGCTGGTTTCCGCAATTTTTCTTGCGCAACAGGGTCATTTGCGCAAGTCGTCATAACTTTCTTCTAAGTAGGCCAATCTTTATGATTTTAATTTCATTTTGTTGCACTTATTGAGATTTACAAAATGAAACCAAAATCATAAAGATTGGCCTACTTAGAAGAAAGTTATGGCGAGTTGCGGAAAAGACCTAGTTGCGCAAATGATCCTGTTGCGTAAAAAAAATTGCGGAAACTAGCCTACCCCCAAAATTAGCTTCTATTCAGTTTAAAAGAATTCTTTTTTGATTAAAAATAGGCGATAAAACTTTTCGTAACTGTAAATAATTTGAAGAAAACGAAAAATCTAAAATTTCGATTGGTTTTATGCTTCTTTTCCTTTTTCTTTTCTTTGGACTTTTGTTACGAAAGAAAATTGACACTCTTTTCGAAACAGAAACAGAAAAAAAGATCGAACTGATAGTGTGAGTGGGAAAAAAATCGGAAAGAAAAAAAATCGATGCACAAAGTAAACTTTTAAAACTCTTAAACACTCTTAAAGAAAGCTAGAAAGCTGAGCTTGAGCTAGAAAGCTGAGCCTGAGCTAGAAAGCTGAGTCTGAGCTAGAAAGCTAGAAAGCTAGAAAGCTGACCCTGAGCTAGAAAGCTGAGCCTGAGCTAGAAAGCTGAGCTTGAGCTAGAAAGCTAGAAAGCTAGAAAGCTGAGCCTGAGCTAGAAAGCTGAGCTTGAGCTAGAAAGCTAGAAAGCCAGAAAGCTAGAAAGCTAGAATTCCAACTGATCGTTTGAACAGTTTCTTCCACATAAACCTCCTTTAGTGTCAAAATAAAAAAGATAGAGCACAATCAATTACATAAGTTGTCAAATTTTCAGGTAGATCCATCTAACCGTTTTCTCTAGATGACAGTTTATAGAAAAAATGGTCTTTTGTTTAGCTGAGACACTTTGAGTTCCCTTTTAAATGTCATTTTTTCATTTTGTAGAGAATTAGTTACGCTTTTTACTGATATCAAACGCTTATCATTTAAGGAAGTGATAAATCTACTAGTAGTTTAAGAAATTTCTTTGATTTTGCACCATTTCATCCTCTTAGCCCAATAATTTTGTATGAAATTTATTATTTGCTGAAACAAAGATCATTTTACTGAGGCTTTTGGGTTTTATTTAGAATTCTCTGCGTCTCTTCACTTACATTGATCTCTAATGAGGCTATTTTCTTTAAAAAAAACCCTCACACTTTGTTGACACAACGATTATTTGATCTCGTAGTTAGATCTCGTAGTTAGATCTCGTAGTTAGATCTCGTAGTTGGATCTCCTAGTTAGATCTCGTAGTTAGATCTCCTAGTTAGATCTCCTAGTTAGATCTCCTAGTTAGATCTCCTAGTTAGATCTCGTAGTTGGATCTCCTAGTTAGATCTCGTAGTTGGATCTCCTAGTTAGATCTCCTAGTTAGATCTCGTAGTTAGATCTCGTAGTTGGATCTCCTAGTTAGATCTCGTAGTTAGATCTCGTAGTTAGATCTCCTAGTTAGATCTCGTAGTTGGATCTCCTAGTTAGATCTCGTAGTTAGATCTCGTAGTTAGATCTCCTAGTTAGATCTCGTAGTTAGATCTCCTAGTTAGATCTCGTAGTTAGATCTCGTAGTTAGATCTCCTAGTTAGATCTCGTAGTTAGATCTCCTAGTTAGATCTCGTAGTTACTTTCAGTAGTGTTTTCTAAAGCTTTATCATATTTAATCGATTTTTGTACTAGAGGAAGGGCTTGTGAGTGCTTTTGATCATGAATTCGAACAATTTTCCGACACAAAAAGACATTTTCAGATAGCTTTCCACGAGCTACTTCATGCTAAATGGGCTTTTCTAATGAAACAAACCGTAGTTCAATTGTTCAACTTGTTGGCACCAAGTGATGGGTTTCTTTAGTGTCTAAAACGCTCTAATAGTACAGGGTATTCAATATTTATGAACTTTTGAGCTCGCAAATCGTTGCTTTATGAAAATAATCGTCAAGAAAGGAGTTGGAAGCTGCATAAAAGTTGGAAGAAACTCGATTTTTTAGATTATTTTTACAGTTTACTAAATTTGTTATTTTAAAAGTCGATTTATCGGAACTCGTTCACCAAATTTCTTTCAAAAGAAGCCAAAAGAAGCTAAAAGAAATCAATTCTTGTTTAACGATGAGAAAGTCTTCACTATTTAACATTTTTCGACTCTACAGGGCATTAAAAATGTTAGAATCACATTTTATTTTTAGTTCTTTCAAGAAAACTTCGCATAAGTTTATGACAAACTCAATTTATCCAACCTCCGACACAGTAGACGCTTTCCACAAGTGTTTCTCGGTAAACAACAACGCAAAAGACAATAAGGTAACTTAAAGTAACTTAAATTTGTTAACATTGGACGTATTGATATATGTGTTATCTTTTACAGCATTAAACTTGTACAAAATGATCTCTAAAGCTTGTAATCTAATGATCCCCATAAATATTGAAATCCCTGTATACAGGATGATCAAGAATTACCGCAATAACGTCGTATTATGTTATGAGCCCCATTTCACTTTTATTATTTTGACTTGCTAAAGAAGGAGGTTGTTCCGTGAGCTCAACGCCACTTCAAAAATCGAATTTGGACTTATCAACAAGATGGTGCGCCGGCTCACAAGGCAAAGAAAGTGAAAGAGTTTTGTTCAAAGACCTTCCCGGACTTCATCTCGTTTTCTGAGTGACCACCCAGGTCACCCGATCTTAACCCATTGGATTTCTCAGTCTGAAGTGTTCTTGAAGCCAGGGCGTGTGCAAAACCACATAAAAAATGGATCATCAAGTTTGAAGAAGGCGCTCATCAAAGGGATCCCCTCGATGATGTCTATTTGCTCGCCACGTTCAACGCATTTCCCAAACGTTTGCCTGTCTGAATGCCGATGGAGGTAAATTTGGATTTAATTGTTAATTTGTTACTGCTATATGTTGAATAAAGATATTTAAGTTAACTTTTCGAGATGGGTTGCATATTTGGTTAAAAGCCAGGCCTTTTGTGTGTTACGGTAATTCTTGGTCACCCTGTAGTAACTAGCAGCTTAAGAGGTCTATTTTAACAGCTTTGCAGCTTCATCTCAATCTTCAAGTTTTTCTGAGGGGAATGTATGTACAGAGCCCGAACTATCACCTCGCCAGAAACGTTTCCCGGGCAAAGCCAGGCCTTTTGTGTGTTCTGGTAATTCTTGGTCACCCTTTACTGTGCCTAATAGAACGGGTTCTATTGGACGAAAATACTGAGCTTTTTTAACATTTCGTTAACCTGTTAACTTTTTAGATAGCTTTTCACGAGTTGTTGCACGCAAAATCTTTTTGCGGAAGCTCTCGTGAATACGGTACTCATTGGTGGAGACACTGACACGAATGGTTGTATCGGGGCAGCGCTTTTGGGTGAGTAAATAAAAACGAGATTTCAAATATAGAAACGTATCGCGTGACCAAACAAAAAAAGGTGCAACTTTCTTTCGAAAAGCTTATTTTGAGGCAATTCCCAGGTGGCTAAATTAGCAAATCGCTAATTGTAGATGAATTTAAGTTTGGATCTTATGCCTACAACTGTCATGGTTGAATTTTCGTTTTCAGGAGCGCATTTCGGTGAAACAAGAATTCCATTGAAGTGGCGAGAGAAAGTAAAAAAGGCGGCGATTCGTATAAAAGAAGAAAATGGGATCATTCCAGTGAAAGAGATCGTGCAACAACGGAAAACGGAACAATTGCGAATCGTGAACACAAAACCAACAAAATGTTTGTGCTGTAGTAAAGGAAATTAGACTTTGCTCGATTTATAAATGGATACACTATAAGAAAAAGGCTTTTGAATTTCACCGCATAACACTATCAGTTTGATCTTGTGACTATAATATTGTTTTTGGTTTGCTAAGCCAAAATTGAATCTACTTTTATCAGACTGAGCAGTTAATTTGAAACTTTAGAGGCTAGTATTGGGTTGGTGAATTGAAAACTGCGGGCTATTGTCATATGTGACAATTTGAGCACTTTCTTCAAAAGAAACCCATTTTGGTGTCAATGGAAAAGTTGTAGAGAATCAAAAATTAAGCTTATATCCAAATTTTCAGAACGATTCAAAAACTAGTTTTCAAGAAATGCCAAATTTACGAATTTTCACAAAACTTGCATTTTAAGCGAAACTACTAAGTGTATCTTTTTGGAAATTTGGATATAAGCCTAATTTTTGATTCTCTACAACTTTTCTATTGACACCAAAATGGGTTTCTTTTGAAGAAAGTCAAACTGGGACATCTCCAGTCCTCGATTTTTGAGTCTCACACTTGTCTCACACACAAACTAAAATCCTACTACGTCTTACAAAACTTTGAGCCCTTATAACTTTTGACAGAGTGCTCCATAGCAAAAACAGAAAGCAGATTCGGATTCAGCGTGTAATTCTGGGTCGAATGCTCTGTGATTCTTCACAACTTTTCTATTGCCACCAAAATGGGTTTCTTTTGAGAAGTGCTCAAACTGGGTCTCCAGTCCTCGATTTTTGAGTCTCACACTTGTCTCACACACAAACCAAAACCCTACTACGAAAGAGGAATCCGCAAATTGCCTTTAAAATGGGCAGAAGTCGTCAATAATAATGGAAATTATTTGGAATGAATTGATGGTTTTATGTTGAATAAATTTTAGGTCAAAGTCCCGCAGTTTTCAATTCACCAACCTAATAAAAAAAGAGTATACCTCAAACTTTCCGATTTAACATTTAAAATTAAATTTCAAATCCGAGCTCTCTGACAGACGCTTAAGTTCTCACAATCAGTGGAGAAAAGATTATAAGAGATGAACTTATAAGAACGCGTTTATAAGATGAGCTTTTTATACTTTTCTAATTGATTTGGTACTCTAAAGGATGTCAGGGTCATTTAGAATCTTGAAAAAAGGGCTTGGATTTGGATTGGAATGTTGAATCTACTCTCTAAAATAAGCTAATCAGTTTCCAAATTCATCTAGGCGTTTAGAGCAATTAAAATTTAATTAAAAGCAATTTAAACTCAAGTTCCAATTGGTAGCCTCAATAATGGCTCGATTCCCCGAATCCCCGGGTACAAATCTACAACTGAGTATCTTCTTTTTTGGTGACATCTCAAATGCAAAAGAAAAATCCCTATGTAAATGAGGTGTTCTTTGTGCGTGCGTACAATCGCTCACCATCTGGCAAACCCCTCCGGTATAAAGTGCTTTTTTTTAGAATCCGTCAAGGGAAAGGAGCTTTTTCATTTTCCTGCGGTCACTATGTCCAAATCCTTGAGAACAATTTTTGCCCTGAATTAGGCTCCATTTTTGCCATTCATTCATTAAAATTCAATTTATAAAACTGAATTCTTTGTTGCACAACCATCAGGAAATGGTTTTGTAAAAAGAAGTCAAAAGTTTGATGAGGGAGAGATTCGAACTCGGGACAAAAGGTGGGTGGACAGGTTTGGTAGTCCATCACACTATCCACTATACCACCGAGACGAATGCTTGCACCTCGTGTGGCGTCATAAAGAGTCCAAAAGAGTCCAACATAAAGCAATTTCCTATGCCAAATTTCTCGCGTTTACGAAGCGTTCTGCAAAAAGTAAAAACGGATTCGAGATCGTCATAGCCGATTCTATAAGACGGGCTTGGTCTCGAAACAAAATGCAACTTTGAGTCAGCACCATTCCCCAATGAACTTTCCCGCTTTTTGTTCGTCACTACGCCGAAATTTTCACGATCAATTTTCACGTCAATTTTTGGCTGTACCGCTGGCGTAAGACATAGAAAACATCCTGTACCCAAACTATATCATATTTTTGTTATTTACTTTCGATTTCCACATATCAATTTCTAGGTAAGAAAACGTTTCCGACTGGCTAATTGCCATCACCGTTTCCCGTTTTTCATGCCTATTCTCAAGGGGTTTGTAAATTTGAAATTTTTCATAATTTGTTGAATCTCTTCACCTCTACAAATTATTTCTCTAAAAAAACGAAAGTTTTTGTGTTGATGTCAAATGATTAGTTTGGGCGTCAAATGAAATAACTCCCCTCTTTAATAACTCCCCTTTTTTTCTCCGTTCGTCAATCCTATTATAGTTCTTTTTTTTTGGGAATAGAATAGAACAGAAACTAGAGAAATCCTGAAGATTTTAGTCAACATTTGCTTTTTGTTTTCTTAGTAGAATGCCTAACTACCTAATTTTCCAATTCTTTCAGCGTTCTTTCACAATCGCTTTCTGTCTGGCTCACTCGCGTGCCAGAAAGATTGCATTTGCACAGAGTATACTTTAAAGTTTTCTATCAAATATCATCATTTAACTTTATCCAAATCCCGCTTTTCCTTTTTTTCTCCAGTAGTTTTTCTAAAGAACATCAAAATCTTAATCAAAAAGAACACAAGCCAGCTTTTGGGTCTATCCCAAAACAGCGCCGTACCCAAAACAGCGCCGACCAACACAGCGCCGTACCCAAAACAGCTCCGCCCAAAACAGTGCCGTACCCAAAACAGCGCCGCCCAAAACAGCGCCAATGCAAAAACGCCCAAGAGACTATTAATTTGATGCTATTTTTGATGTTTTTATGCATCGTTTAATTGTTGTCTTTTATTGTTGTTGGCCATGTTATTTTTAAATAAATTATCAAAATTAAAAGCTGCTAATCAAAAAAAATGAATTGTACATTGTAAAAGAAAAAAAACTTTGTTTTGCATCGGCGCTGTTTTGGGCGTTTTTTCATTGGCGCTGTTTTGGGTACGGCGCTATTTCGGGTGGCGCTGTTTTGGTCGGCGCTGTTTTGGGATAGACCCCAGCTTTTTGTTTGCTTTCAAATAACAATACTGTATTATCTGTTGGAGGAAATACTAAAATTCTAATATCATATTACTATAAAGATTCCGATTTGTTTACAAAAAACAAACCAGTCTTAAACTTGCTTAACCAAGCTGGGTTTTTTGCTTTTCCTTTACCCTAGCCATTTCATTGATCAGGGACAAATCTATAAACGCTTTTAAAGGAAAAATCTATAGCTTGATCTTCAACAATGCCAGTACTTTATAACTTTTAAACCAGGAATCAAATAAACTCTTTTTTTCACGTTCTTCAAATCCCAGCGGATAGAGTAGACTCAAGTTTTGATTATATTTCAGAACTTATGATAAATAAAAGCGTTTATAGTTCCAATAAAAGCGTTTATAGATTTGCCAACAATATAACGTTCTGATATAAAGCAGACAAGAGCTAAAAAGGCAAATTTTTAACTGAATAACATTTATTGTACATTAACAATGATAAATCAACTATCAAATTCGAATGAACTACCATTAGCATTTGAGCAGACTCGCAGGCGTTTCGGGAAGAACAGTGGCTACCAAATAGGCTGGATCGAGCTCTTCCCACGCTTTCAACAGTGATTTCTTGAAGCTTTGTATGTTTTTGTGGGTCTTTAGACGAGCTTTGGCTTCTAGAATCGACCACATTGAAAAATCCATTGGGTTGAGGTCTGGAGAGATAGATGGCCACTCAGAAGAAGAAATGAACCGGGAAGTTGTTTTGGCAGAACTCTTAGACTTTCTTGGATTTGTGACCATCTTGCTGATAAGTCCAAATGCGATTTCCAAAATGTTCACGAGCCCAGGGCAAGAGTTCATCCTTGAAAAGAGCCAGGTAGTTATCGGAATTGATTCTCTTGGAGAACAAATATGGGAGGAGTCTTTCCTGTTGCATCGCTTGCATGATATTTGTCTTTGTGACGACAGTTGGACGTATACCGCTTCTTGGTGCATCAGCAATTGTTCCCGTAGCTTCGTAGCGTTAAATAGTGCGGAAAATGATACTTCTGTCGACTTTAAGACTTCTGAATCTCCGGCGCCGAAACTCCTCGCTTGTGCAATTCAATGATCGATTGTCGATGGGGGATTTGCCAGCTATTCTAAAAATAACATATTTTCTATGAAAAAGCTTCAATTATTGGGTTGGTGAATTGAAAACTGCGGGACTTTGAACTAAAATTTATTCAACATAAAACCATGAATTCATTCTAAATAATTTCCATTATTATTGACGACTTCTGCCCATTTTACGGGCAATTTGAGGATTCCGTTTTCGTAGTAGGATTTTGGTTTGTGTGTGAGACAAGTGTGAGACTCAAAAATCGAGGACTGGAGATGTCCCAATTTGAGCACTTTCTTCAAAAGAAACCCATTTTGGTGTCAATAGAAAAGTTGTAGAGAATCAAAAATTAAGCTTATAGCTAAATTTCCAAAAAGATACCCTTAGTAGTTTCGCTTAAAATGCAAGTTTTGTGGAAATTCGTAAATTTGGCATTTCTTGAAAACCAGTTTTTGAATCGTTCTAAAAATTTGGATATAAGCTTGATTTTTGATTCTCTACAACTTTTCCATTGACACCAAAATGGGCTTCTTTTGAAGAAAGTGCTCAAATTGCCACATTTTGACAATAGCCCACAGTTTTCAATTCACCAACCCAATTTATTCCAAATATGAGAAAAAGACAAAAAAACCAGAAATATAACTTAAATCAACGAGTTATTGTCCTTGAACGCGCGTCATACTCTGTTGCGACGATTATGGCGAACCCTGTAATTTCAGAAGTGACGCATTTTATTTGGCATTTCCTTTAAAGTCATCGATTCGATGAAAAAATGTCTTTGACTGACGAATAAGATACATTTATAATTAGTAAATGTTTTTGAGAGCAAAATTCACATTTGTGCCTCATTAACAACCACTTTCGAGCCATTTTTGCTGTTCAATTCGATAATGAGTACTTGAAACTAGCCAAAAAAAATTGCAACTCGTGATATTTACAAAAGATTTTCTATTTCTTATTACTTTTTCTTATAATTAGTACAGATTCGATTCAGATCTACCTTTTAAAAGTGCGAATTCTGATTTTTTTTAGTTCTGATTGCGTTCTGATTGAGTTCTGACATTTGCGCCACTCAATCCACTCTTGCCCTGGGCTTGTAAACATTTTGGAAATCGCATTTGCCACTCAATCAATCCTTACCGATAGACTCATGAGCGATAATCAGGTTTGTTTATGGTTTAGTTCATTTAGGTATGTCCAGCTCTTTAATTTCACTATATATAGTGAAACAGAAGTACTGTATTTATTTTATTTATTCCCATGCGCTTCTATTTTTCAAATGACTAAAAAAAATTGATGAATTAGTTCGTAGAAAGAAAAGGTCAGCCAATTAGAAACGATTTAATTGTTAAAAAAGCATTATTCTCGTTTCCATTATCGTTAGAGTTGCCGACTTCAAGCCAGCCGACTGGCTGAGTCAAATACTTTACGACTTATACCATTCAACGCAGAATTTTATGCTGATTTCGAAATACAGGAAAATGAGCGCAACCATGAGACCGGATGAGGATAATTTGTAGTTCATTTAAGTCAAGTACCTAGATGCCAAAGGATAGATTAGACTGAATCTGTGCAATCATCTGGGGTATTCATAACTCACAAGCATTTGGCCGGCTCAACCAGTTGAACTGGTTGAGCCGGCCAAATGCTATACGACTTGTACAATTCAAAGCAGAATCTTATGCTGATTCCGAATATGTATTCTGTTTTTCCTAAATGATAATCTGTCAGGAGTTGTAAGCTTATAAGGATTCTGAAAATGTGGGATTGTTAGAATGTTAGGACTCTGAAAATGTGATCATTTGGGTCTTAACGGCCTCCTTAACGGACCAAATTTGATGCAGCCTTGACCGAGTGGTACAGCCTTCATTTCCAGAGCGGGACTTCACAAATGCGATCCACGGTTACACCAAATCTGGTTCGTTAAGGAGGCCGTTAAGACCCAAATCACCACTAGGACCCAAAGATCACATTTTTAGAGTCCTAACAAAACTTTAGACGCTTACCCTATTTACTCTAATAGACGGGCATCTCTAATAGACGGGCATCTCTAATAGACGGGCATCTCTAATTAGACGGACATCTCTAATAGACGAACATCTCTAATAGACAAACATTTTGAGAGGATTCGAAAAGACGGAGAGTCTCTAATAGACAGACATATTTTCTAAAACGTGAATAACCAACCGTACCCTACCCACAACGCGCACAAAGGGTTTTCTGCTAGTTGATTTCACTTTTTGGCAAGTTTAATTGTTTATTGGATATGTTACATTGGATATTATAACTTTAAACGTTAAGCTATTCAACCTTAAGCTACTTTAACCTTTCCGGCTGAAAACTTGATCTTGGAGTACTTTATTGAGAGCTGTTATAGCTGTTACAATCTTTTTAAAGAAAAAACGATTCCAAAGTTTCCAATCAAATCTAGGACATTTGTCATTCAATCGAAACGGCAAGCCGAATCGAGACAGCAGTTTGCTGTTTGATCAACGCCACAAATTTTTCACTTCTCATCACTTGTCTTTTCATTCAGAGAAGAGCTTTTCATCGGTATTTCTGGTAAGTTGTTCAAAATCTCAACTTAAAACATTGAAAACACTTCTGCTGGCCTACTGCTGGCCTACTGCTGGCCTACTGCTGGCCTACTGCTGGCCTACTGCTGGCCTACTGCTGGCCTACTGCTGGCCTACTGCTGGCCTACTGCTGGCCTACTGCTGGCCTACTGCTGGCCTACTGCTGGCCTACTGCTGGCCTACTGCTGGCCTACTGCTGGCCTACTGCTGGCCTACTGCTGGCCTACTGCTGGCCTACTGCTGGCCTACTGCTGGCCTACTGCTGGCCTACTGCTGGCCTACTGCTGGCCAACTTCAAGTGTCCAGATTGCAGCTCAATTCCTGAAGCTGAAGAAAGCTGAATACTTCTCTAAGATTAAGATTTCTTCATAAGCTCAAGCGTAAACTTTCAAAGAATTAAACATTTCAGTATCACTTACGGTTTATTTGTCATATGTTATGGATCATTTGTCATTATTACTGAAATTGCGACAATCGCCAAATTTTTTGGGGTAAATCAATCCATTTTGAGGTTTAAAAATCAACTTTAGCGACTTGACATCGCCGGTCAAGTTTTATTCATCTTAACCCCGATGTACTATTTCATTCTAACGGTCAATTTGACTTGTGCAATTGAGCGACTCGGAGCGACAATCTTTTACGAGACTTATGAGAAGAGAAAACCGTGGTTGCTGTTGGCTGTTTCATGGACAGTTGGGGTTAGTTGAAATAACATCTAACAGTCTTGAGTGTATGATTACTAGACTAGCTTATCGATATTATCGATAAGCAAGTCATGCTCATTTTTAACCGGTGCCCCACCGGTGAGTCCTAAGGTAACTACCATCTGGGACGATGGGACCCACCGGTGAGTCCTAAGGTAACTGCCATCTGGGAGGATGGGACCCACCGGTGGATCCTAGGGTAACTGCCATCTGGGAGGATGGGACCCACCGGTGGATCCTAGGGTAACTACCATCTGGGACGATGGGACCCACCGGTGAGTCCTAAGGTAACTGCCATCTGGGGGATGGGACCCACCGGTGGATCCTAGGGTAACTGCCATCTGGGGGATGGGACCCACCGGTGGATCCTGGGTAACCACCATCTGGGACGTGGGACCCACCGGTGAGTCCTAAGGTAACTGCCATCTGGGACGATGGGACCCACCGGTGAGTCCTAAGGTAACTGCCATCTGGGAGGATGGGACCCACCGGTGGATCCTAGGGTAACTGCCATCTGGGACAACGGGACCCACCGGTGGGTCCCGGGTCTCAAGTCGCGCAAACCCTCATAATTTCCACCAAGACCTCATTCTAGTTGTAACCGTTCAGATTTCAGTTTCTAGAACAGCTATATTTCTAGAACAGAAACCAAAAACATAAAGATTGGCCCACTTAGAAAAAAAGTTATGCCGAGTTGCGCAAACGACCCAGTTGCGCAAATAATCCTGTTGCGCAAAAGAATTTGCGAAAACTAGCCTACCCCCAGGTTTTTGAAAAAAATAATTTTTTACATTAGAAGGGAATTTCCCCACCAAATCAGTTAAACGGCTGAGTATCTTTAAAAAGTGTCGTATATAATGCGGGGCTCGTGATTTTTACGTCATTTTTTTGCAATAATTTTTGCTAAAAGTACGGTAATTTTTTTCCCAAGTGTCCGTTTTAAAAAACGCATTACTCGTGAAGAACACACTCTAGGGAAAACTATTTCAAGCACTTTCATGATTTTCATGCGCGTTTTCAATAAGAAGGTAGCTCATTAAGAAATTAAGCTGATTATTGCATAACTTTACGGTTTCAATACGGTTCCTATTTTGTTCCAATATGGTTCTTATTTTGTTCCAATACGGTTCCAATACGGTTCCAATACGGTTCCTATTTTTATCTAATACGGTTCCAATATGGTTCTTATTTTGTTCCAATACGGTTCCAATACGGTTCCAATACGCTTCCATTACGGTTCCTATTTTGATCTAATACGGTCTCAATACGGTTTCTATTTTGTTCCAATACAGTTCCAATAGGGCCTTTATCGCTTCAAATTATTTTCAAAACTCAAAAAAAGATATTGAATTCACTCAAAAATTCGTTAAAATCTTTGAATGTTGATTAAAAAAATATCGAGCTAATAGAATTTTGACTCAAAAGAACATCAAAGTTGAGTTGATAATCGAAAAGTTTTTTCAACATTTCATGTCAAATAAAAAAGTTGCCATGATGTTAGCTGTACGATTATAACTTTTCATTCTAACCAAACAGAAATTAGACAGCTGCTTAAATAGATAAATGGAGAAATTTTCACGGATCAGTTATATGCATTGACTCAATAGCATTGTGAAGTTTGTCATTTCCTTTCAGATATCATTGTACCTTGAACTAACCAGTGCAGTAATTGTACTCATTGTCGGAGAAACGGAGGTAGACCCATACCTGAGGTAGACCCCGACCTCCGAGGTAGACCCATACCTGAGGTAGACCCATACCTCTGAGGTAGACCCATACCTCTGAGGTAGACCCATACCTCTGAGGTAGACCCATACCTCTGAGGTAGACCCATACCTCCGAGGTAGACCCATACCTCTGAGGTAGACCCATACCTCTGAGGTAGACCCATACCTACGAGGTAGACCCATACCTACGAGGTAGACCCATACCTACGAGGTAGACCCATACCTACGAGGTAGACCCATACCTACGAGGTAGACCCATACCTACGAGGTAGACCCATACCTACGAGGTAGACCCATACCTACGAGGTAGACCCATACCTACGAGGTAGACCCATACCTACGAGGTAGACCCATACCTACGAGGTAGACCCATACCTACGAGGTAGACCCATACCTACGAGGTAGACCCATACCTACGAGGTAGACCCATACCTACGAGGTAGACCCTTACCTCCCGAAACGAAGATAGCCCCCGACCTCCTCGGTAGACCTTTACCTCCCGAAACGAAGATAGACCCCGACCTCCTCGGTAGACCCCTACCTCATGAAACGAAGGTACACCCATACCTCGATCGGACTAAAATCGTCTCTTTTAGATTTCATGGACGAAAAAGTCAAAAGCCATCGGTAAAGCCAAAGCGAAGCCAAGCTAAAAGCCAATGCTTGAATTGGCTTTGAATTGACTTTAAATTGGCCTGGATTGGTCCGTTCGTCTCTGATTGTATTTGTAAATTTGCTAAACGTTTAATATGCGAATAGATCTGTCACTTGTGACAGTGACAGTTCAGATCGGTGACAGTTAATTTCCAAGTATCTTGATGTCACTTGATAATCCAGTACCTTAGTCTTGTCATAAAAGCCTTAAGTAGCAGAAATTAAGGGCTAAAAGTGAATAGGGCTATTCCTTTTACTATCAGCTTGCGAGTAAAGGAACAAATAGAACCGGGATTTGGTTATTCATTATTCTTTTTTCATATAAAACTAGGTAAATGAACCAATTTAGTTGGAAATTGTTTGAATTTTGAAATTCTCAGCCCATCGCTACCATAAATCCTTTTTAAAGATGGTAAAGAACATGTAAATGAACAGAATTTTATTTTCTTATCTATCATTTATCTAACATTTCTTAACTAACCATTTTCAGGCAACGATCTCCTATTTATTGACAGCGAACGAAATTGGTAGTTGAGTTTTCGACTTTTTTTCCTGAATCTTTCATTTACAGCCGGTTTTGCCTCGGAGGTGGTGCAAATTTGGGAATACGGTGGATCGTTTTTCTCGATTCTGGTACGGAATATTGAAAAGCTTTGGCAAAAATATTAATCATTTCTTATTTTTATGTAAACAAATTCCCAGGAGTCATTTGCCTTTACGGAAGTTTGTATAAAAATATCAAAATCCTTTTTGTACGCTTGTATCAATGATCTATTAGGTTGGCAACTTAATAATGACGCGTTTATGTAACAAATCATTTATTTCAAAAAAACACAAAAGAAGAGCTTTCAATTCGAAAGGTATTCTCCATTAGTATCTATGACTTCTTCCCATCTTCTGCGCAAATCCCGGATCCCATCCTCGAAGAACTTGGGAGTTTTTGAGGCGAAGTAGTCATTCACTGCTTTTATGACCTGAGCATGATCATCGAACTTTTCTCCCTCCAAAAAGTGCTTCAGCGACCGAAGCAAAAAGTAACCTGAAGGAGCCAGATCAGGTGAATAAGGCGCGTGGGGCAAAACTTTCCAGCCAAGTTCATCGATTTTCTTATAAGTGATCTTTGCAGTGTGAGGTTTTGCGTTGTCGTGTAAAATCTGACTCTCTCCGGTTTGAGCCCCAATTTCTTCAAAGACTCGTTAACTCTCATTAATTGCTTTGAATAAAGATCAGCAGAAAAGATCGTCAAAAGCAAATAATGAAATTTGGAGCACTAAATGTTATTTATGCAGACATCTTTTACTTTGTATATATGCAAAAAAGAGGGAAGAAACGACGCTTGAAATTGCAAAAAACATGTTAAGTAGTGACGCGTCATTATTAAGTTGCCAACCTAATAAATCAATGCTATGGATCAATGATCTAAATCAATGATCTCAATCAATGGCCTCAATCAATGGCCTCAATCAATGATCTCAATCTCAATCAATTCAGATCTCGGCTGGATGCATTATGGTGAATGTTCGGCAGACAATCAGAATTCGAGGTGGAAAAGGCACACTGACCGCTCGATATCAATTAGCCGAGAATATTAGAGGTTAGTAATTTAGAGTGATCAAGGGGAAAAGAAAGAAAAGAAAGAAAAGAAGAACCTATGACAGATTTTTTTTATTTAGCTTTGTTTTGTATAGTTCAAATGCAAAAGGAGTCATGGGATCAGCTTGAACCGAAATGTTTTTACCTATTTCCAAACCATTTAAGCCGATTTCTTGAAAAAGCCACGTTAAATTTATTAAAAATACTTTTAAAACAATTTACCAAAGTTTTGAGGAGCGATCACTGTGTTAGTTTTTCCTTTTGGGAAACGAAACTTAAAATGATAGTTAAACTAAATCGAAATTGCATTTAGTTGCATTAGTTGCATTAGTTGCATTAGTAAAATTAGTAATTAGTAAACTTTGCAATTAATAAAATAGCTTGAAAATGTTAAGCTTAAAAAGTTATTAAAAACTATGACCCATGTCATAAAAGCCAGAAATTAAGGGTTAAAAATTAATAGAGCTAGTTGACAGTATTACATGGGAGATAGATAAAGCCGAGAAATCCCTAAAAATGTTTGCTGAAACAGAATATGGTTTTAAAAAGAGACAGAATTGCTGTAAAGTAAATAAATTTGTAGTTTTCAAGTTCTAAATTGCAATAACTAACCAACTTTCAATTGTGTTTTGTTGTTTCTGATATATTAGAACTTTTCTTTAATGTTTGTACTGTTTTTTTGAATAAAATTAGAAGAAAATTAGTTTATCGAACGAATTTATCTGTCAGTTTTATCTAATTTTGGTAACTTTTTCAAATTTTTCAAAAGACCAGGCGAAAAGAGTAGAGGGAAAAAGTAGAGGCCCGGGGGCTTCAAGTAGAGGCCCCGGGGTTTCAAGTAGAGGCCCCGGGGCTTCAAGTAGAGGCCCCGGGGTTTCAAGTAGAGGCCCCGGGGCTTCAAGTAGAGGCCCCAGGGCTTCAAGTAGAGGCCCCGGGGCTTCAAGTAGAGGCCCCGGGGCTTCAAGTAGAGGCCCCGGGGCTTCAATTACAATATTTATGGTAAGTTCACAAAGATGAAAGAGTCCGTTTTATTGAGAACTCTTCACCAATGGGTTTTCATTTTGGAATGTAAATATGAAGAATCAATTGATTTTATTTTCATCACCATCCTTTTACAGTCACCCAACTCACACTGATCTTTGTTTTTTTTGACAACGCACTCACAATCTATGACTTATTGTTGATGGAGATTTTTGGCTTTAAAGCGACTTTTGAAATGGATCAGTGTTTAGCTGGTCCATTCAAATATGCAATTGTTCACTTACCGACACTTATTGTGAGTTTTGGTAACTTATGAATTATTGGGTTGGTGAATTGAAAATTGCCGGACTTTGAGCTAAAATTTATTCAACATAAAACCATCAATTCATTCCAAATAATCTCCATTATTATTGACGACATCTGCCCATTTTAAAGGCAACTTGCGGATTCCTCTTTCGTAGTAGACTTTGGTTTGTGTGTGAGACAAGTGTGAGACTCAAAAATGGAGAACTGGAGATGTCCCAGTTTGAGCACTTTCTTCAAAAGAAACCCATTTTGGTGTCAATGGAAAAGTTGTAGAGAATCTAACAAGAGAATGGAAAAGTCAACTGAAATGGTCAACTGGATGTGGTCAAATCAAATGATCACAGACCATTCGACGCAGAATTACACGCTGAATCCGAATCTACTTTCTGTTTTTGCTATGGAGCACTCTGTCAAAAGCTATAAGCGCTCAAAGCTTTGTAAAGACCGCCGACGTAGTAGGATTTTGGTTTGTGTGTGAGGCAAGTGTGCGACTCAAAAATGGAGGACTGGGAATGTCCCAGTTTGAGCACTTTCTTCAAAAGAAACCCATTTTGGTGTCAATAGGAAAGTTGTAGAGAATCAATAATTAGGCCTATAGCCAAATTTCCAAAAAGATACTCTAAGTAGTTTCGCTTAAAATGCAAGTTTTGTGAAAATTCGTAAATTTGGCATTTCTTGAAAACCAGTTTTTGAATCGTTCTGAAAATTTGGATATAAGCTTGATTTTTGATTCTCTACAACTTTTCTATGGACACCAAAATGGGTTTTTTTTGAAGAAAGTGCTCAAACTGTGACATATGCCAATAGCCCGCAGTTTTCAATTCACCAATCCAATAATTGCAAGTAATGAATTCAGATCCGCTACTCATTGGTTTTCTCAATTCCAACTCTGAGCTTTGTCTTCAACGAGAATCTTCGACGACCGCTTAATCAAATGTTTTCCTGGAGATCTTCAAAAACTCAAGATTTCACTCAACAACGAAAGTTGGAGTTTCGAAATGTGGTTGGCGGGAGAGTGACTTCTCTCGCTTCACAAGAGGCTTATTTCGATCAACTATTATTACAATGGCAAAAAGATGAATAAATCTATTTACCAAACTTCCTTTACAAGTTAATATCTCATTTTTGTCTTGTGTATTTTCAACCTATACTATCATGATCACCACTTTATGTCGAATAAAGTATTCCTTTATACAGGGAAATCCAAAATTACCTAAACCAACTCATGATTTAAAAACCTTTTCATCGAAAAAAGAAAAATCAACATTAACAAATTTATTCTCTAGATTGCGTTCAACAATTTGATTTATAATTATCTCTATTGGTGGCTGCAAAAGCGGCTTGTGTAGCCACCAATAGAGCGTTATAGACCAAGCGAGCACCAATATACCAAGAGAAACGTTTTGAGAAGACGTTGATGGTGGCCAAAAGATACGCAGGATCGAGTTCAGCCCAAGCTTTCTGGAGTGATTTTTTCGGTGAATCAATGCTTGAATTTGCTTTTGAGCAGGCCTTTTGCTTTGAGAACACTTCAAAATGAGTAAACCATCGGCTATTAGATCAAAATAGGAACCGTATTGGAACCGTATTGGAACCTTTTAGATCAAAATAAGAACCGTATTGGAACCTATTAGATCAAAATAGGAACCGTATTGGAACCTTTCAGATCAAATTAAGAACCGTATCTCTATTGGTGGCTGCACAAGCGGTGAAACGTTTTGGAAAGCCTTTGATGGTGGCCAAAAGATACGCAGGATCGAGTTCAGCCCAAGCTTTCTGGAGTGATTTTTTCGGTGAATCAATGTTTGAATTTGCTTTTGAGCAGACCTTTGCTTTGAGAACACTTCAAAATGAGTAAACCATCGGCCTTAAATCGGGGCTTCATGCTGGTCACTGCTTAAAGCTGATGAAATCCGGAAAGTTTCGTTCACACCAGTCTTGGGCAATTCGGGCTTTGTGGGCGGGCGCCCCATTCTGTTAAAAGCATCAAATTCCCTTTTCAAAGTGGTTTTATGCCAAAAGCACTTCCTACTGCAAAATATCCAGATAATTAACAGCAAAGCGCGGCAAACGCAGGCTATTTTGGTTATTTTGGGACACCTCAGTATACCGTATTTTCTCTAATAGTAGTGCACCATGAGCGTCGCCAAAATTCCTCGAAATCTCGAGAACCGCTTATCAGAACCTATCGATATGGGATCGGAAAATGTAGCTGACGATGAGATCTAGTAGGGATTAGAGTGTTGAGCTTCTGCAAAAGCTTGGAAACCCTAAAATAGTGACCAACTCGGCTCGCCGGAGTGCACTACTATTAGAGAGAATACGGTATTGGCACTTTTATAGATTAGCCAGTGGTTTCAAAACTGCTGGAAGGTCGGCGTCCCAATCGGTCGAGATTATCACTAAAGATTATTACCAGATTATCACCAAAGCCTTTTCCATACCCTCTTTCTTTTCTACCATAGCAAAGGCTTGTCCCGTTTCAGTCTACTATTTCCCAACTTTATCGCATCCCAATCCTTCCCACCGCTATTTCCTCCCCCATCTTCCAACCACTTCGATCTCCTCGTAACCCACCAATACCCACTCATTCATTCCCTTTTAACCTTTTCAGCTTTTACCATTCAAATTCAGTTTACAATTATGTAATTGTAAACTGAATGATGTAATTACCGTATTTTCTCTAATAGTAGTGCACCATTAGCGATAAGCGATTCTCGAGATTTCGAGGAATTTAGGCGACCTAAATTCCTCGAAATCTCGAGAACCACTTATCAGAACCTATCGATGTGGGGTCGGAAAATGTAGCTGACGATGAGATCTAGTGGGGGATTAGAGTGGAGCTTCTGCAAAAGCTTGTAAACCGCAAAATCGTCACCAACTCGGGTCGCCGGGGTGCACTACTATTAGAGAAAATACGCTATATGTTCGACTTTGGCTCTTTCCTCTTTCCAAATCGGACATCCAATTTCGGAATGATTTCTTTTTGGGGGGTGGGACAAATGCGACCTTTTTTTTTGGGTCAAATTTGGGCTAAAAGGCAAAAACTGCGGAAAAGCGTTAAGTCGCGTAGTTTTTGCCTTTTAGCCCAAATTTGACGTGTCAGCGAGGTCTGATTTGTCGAAATTCGGAATCTACGCATACGATACCCTTCTATGAAAACATTTTTGAAGCTCTACGACCTTTCCTAAGGCCTTTTCCAGCAAAAAAGGTGCGCAAATGTCCAGGTGCGCGAAAAAAGGTAGCATTTGTCCCACCCCCAAAAAATCACTATCAACGACTTATATACTTAAAGATATTCAGCTTATTTTTTAAAGATATTCAGCTGTTTAACTGATTTGGTGGCAAATTTCGAAGCTCTACGGCCTTGCCTAAGGCCTTTTCCAGCAAAAAAAAAGGTCGCATTTGTCCCACCCCCTCTTTTTGACTGATCTCAAAAGATTTGTCATTACAAATAGAATTCTTTTATTAGCGCCATGTCAAAAGAAGGAAAGATTTATATAAACGATGAAAATTTTGATACAAAATCATAAAGGCATCTCAATGCGGCAAAAGTTGGTAAAAATTAAAAATTTTAGGGAAAAATTACAAAATACTAATAAAATTACAAGTAAATGGCTGAAAAAAAATGAAGAAAATGAAGAAAATGAAGAAAACTTTGAGCCAAGAAGTCGGAAAGGCGAAAAATTGCATAAAAAGATTGGTTACTGTAAGGATCAAAGAAAAAAGGGCACCATTTTTATTAAAAGTTTTGGATTTGAGATTTGAGTTGACAAAAGCTGACTAAGATTTTGTGACTTGGGTTTGGGGAAATTTTGAAAAAGTAAAGGTAAAGTAAAGGCTAAGGAATAAGTAAAGATATGAAATCAACAAAGGGGATTTGTTTGGGTGGCTTAAGCTTAAGATTTTTGGCTTAAGCCTGGCTGTCATCACCATCTCCGTCATCGAGTGGGCCTGTAAATTTCGAGTTTTGTAAGGGAATTATGATTTCATCTAGGAAAATCATAAAGCTGATTGATAAAATTGAAAATGATATTGAAGAAATTGAAGAAAACCATGCAAAATTAGTGCTTTTTAGGTGTACTTTGTGCTAACGCATAGAAACAAACGCTTCTCGCATAGAAACAAACGCTTCTCTCATAGAAACAAACGCTTTTCTCATAGAAACGAACGCTTCTCGCATAGAAACGAACGCTTTAACTCAATCAGCTCATTGTTTTTCTTATAACAATGCTTTCATTTCTATTTGAGTGCACTAGAAAGGTTGTGTTTCCGTTCTTGAGCACAAAGTACACTTCCAAAGCAGACAAAGGCCAAGCAGATGTAAACACAAACTCTCAGCAATGACAGAAATGTTAGTGGTGTGAAATTTTGACCACTTTATAGTCAACAAAGTTTTAGCAAATCTATTTACGATAAAATTACTGTAAGTCGTTTTAGTACTTGATTTCTACCAATTTTAGTGTTCTTACAAGGTACAAATGTAGATTTTGACCAACTAAACAAACATTTTGACTAACTAAGCAAGCATTTTGACTAACCAACGACATGCAAACCTTTACTTGAGGAAAAAATTTTGCTATATAACTAAACTGAGAAAAGTTTGGCTTATAACTAACTAGAAATTCAAATTCTAACAGTGCAAAACAAAGCAAAACAAGCAAAACAGTGCAATGTTAAAGCTAAATAAGCCTTCACTTCACACCATTCATTGGCTGTAGTCGAGCTCCTGCGGCGGTTGGAGTTCAGCTTTTTTCGAACTCTTGGGCTCTCTGTGCTGCTTGATTTTTCCGTCTTCATCATCGCTTGATGATGTAGATGAAGATGAACTCGAGAAATCTTTCTCTCCATCGGTTAGCGCTTAAATTTTTTGAGAAAACTGAAAGAATCACTGCACTCCATTGAAAAAAAGGTTATCGAAAATGCATTTGATTGATTGATTTGATTAGTTGACAAACAGTTAGTAAAGTTTTTGTAATACCTACTGTAAATACTGTAATTGTACCCCAGCCCCATAATGACGGTGCGGAGTGTTGCGTAGTCTGGCTTTGGACGCATTTTTCTCGACACTGGTTTATGCTACAATGCGCGGTTAGGTATCAAACGAAAGCTGAGATTCAGGGCTATTTTTTGATACCAAAGACGTACGGGTACGGGTGATTTGCAAAAAATGAAATCCTAAAAAAATTTTGCGACTACCCGACTGTACAAGGGGGTTGGGGTACTATTACAGTATTTACGGTGTAGCTAGGAAAGTGCTAAGCACGGTAAGCATCAAAATAGCCCTGAATCTCAGCTTTCGTTTGATATCTAAGCGCGCATTGTAGCATAAACCAGTGTCGAGAAAAACGCGTTCAAAGCTAGACTACGCAACACTCCGCACCATCATTATGGGGGTACTATTACAGTATTTACAGTGTAGCTAGGAAAGTGCTAAGCACGGTAAGCACCCATTAATCGCATTGTTTCGAATTCTTTTTAAAAATCAATCTTTTTTACCTTCAATGTTGAGTGTGAGCTCGACGTTGGCTTCACCGGCATCGTTCTTGATGTTGCACGTGTAAGTGCCGGAGTCTTTGGCCTTGTAGTTCTAAAAGAAAAGAGTTTAAAGAAATAGAAGCAAAAAAAAAACTAAGTAATCTTTTGAATAGTTTAACAATTTTAGGCTTTAAACAATAGTACTGCGAATATTCAACAAGGGGTAGAGTTGAAACCGTTCCAGGGCTTAGGCTTAGGGTACTGGAACGAACTTTAGTCTTTAACAAATCCATCTATACAACAAGAATAAAGTCTTACATGCAAATGGCCCAATACCCTTACTAACTCAACATAAACAAAACACTAAATATTATTCAAAAACCCATGTATGTCTTTCCCATTAGTATGGGAAAGAACCTATAATCACCCTTGGGATCGAACCCTTGATCTTCTGGCTAGAAGACAAGACTCCTAATCCATCGACCATGTCAGACAAAGCTATGAAGGACAAATCAATCATTCTATGCAGATATGAATTTCCGAAGCTTCCGAAAACACCTTTGGTGATATAAAAACATATTTGAAAATAAGTTTAGAGCAAAATTTTTCGACCTTATTGGTAGTCTATACGTATGTATTTTATGTAATCTGATTTTTAAATAAGACAAAAGCCCACAGTTCTGAAAACCCCAGATATTTCCCTTTCTTTCTTCCTTGTCTTTGCTATTTCTTCTTGAGCCAAGAAGCTCATTGGAAGAGCTCGCTAGAAGAGCTCCGATAGCTCATTGGAAGAGCTCCGATATCTCATTGGAAGAGCTCATTGGAAGAGCTCCGATATCTCATTGGAAGAGCTCATTGGAAGAGCTCCGATATCTCATTGGAAGAGCCCCGATAGCTCATTGGAAGAGCATCTGCCCGGTAGCAGAAAGTTGAGGGTTCAATTCCCCCACAATTCCAAATGCTTTGCCATTCATTAAGTGTGATGAATAAGCGTTACAACCTACCTTGAGTTCGAGGGAGGCGGTGAAAGTGTTGGCTCCTCCGTCGGGCGAACTGGTGAACTTGATTCTCGACGATTCCTTCATCTTCTTTCCCTTGGGGTTCAACCAGATGACCTGAAAGAGAGCCATAAAAGAGATCCTTCAGCTATTCAGTTAAGCTATATTTTTACCTCAGGGTTGCGGTCAGCTTGGAATCCGATGTCGAAGACGATGGCCGGATCACCGGAGTCGGAAGTCTTTTGGAGGATTTGGGGTTTTCTTGTAAAGGTTGGGGCTCCTTGGGGTACTGCAAAGGAACTTTATAGTCTTTACAAAGTTATGAAGTGTAAATAGATCTATGCAGGCATTTTTTTACAAATCATTCTATGCAGTTATTGTTAAATCCTAGTCTCTTGTCTTTACAGCATCTCTAGAAAGACAGAATAGCTTTCTTGAACTTGAAAACTACAGTTTTGTCAGCTTAGATGTTTTCTGTAGCAATAGTTTACAGTATTTTACAGTTACAGTAAGTTTAAATCTAAATAAACCTTCGAATTTGACGGTGAAGGTGGCGGTGAGTTTTCCGGACTCGTTCTTCGCTGTGCACACGAATTGGCCGGCGTCTTTCTCCTTGGTTGGCTCCTAGAAACAAGAATTTATTAAAATTCCTCAATTTATACATAAAATTACAAGTTTTATTGCAAAATTTTCACACAAACCTTGATCTCGAGGGCGGCATAGTAGACCTGATTGGCCTCTTCTCGGGTGACGATCTTGATTCGGTCGGATTCGGCGACGATCTCATCTCCCTGAAGAAATTTCGAGTACTGATTATAATTAAAGTATTGTAATTCATTAATTTCAGTATGTAGCTTTAAAGTTAAATCTCTAATGTAATCAAAAAAGCTTTTTAAACTCAACCTTTTGCCACACGAAAGTCGGCTTGAGGATCGACTTCGCGCGGAACTCCATGACCATGACCTGAAAAGGTTTTTGAAATTAAATAATCTAAAAGTATAACTGTCTTCTGTTCAAGTTTTAAATGAATCAACCTGTCCATCATCGCGAGAAGAGATTTGTGGCTTCTCGACGAATGTCGGTGAGGAGAATCCTGTAAAAGTATTGTAGATAAGAAATGAAGAAAAATACTTTTGTTGCTTTGCTTTTGTTGCTTGTTATTTCTCAGGGTTAGACCAGGAGCCAGGGTTAGCTTGATCTAATTTTTGATCTTGCTTTGCCAGACTTAATCTTACCTAGCTTGGCCTTGCCTAGCTTGGCCTTACCTAGCTTGGCCTTACCTAGCTTGGCCTTACCTAGCTTGGCCTTACCTAGCTTGGCCTTACCTGGCTTGGCCTTACCTGGCTTGGCCTTACCTGGCTTGGCCTGGCTTGGCCTTACCTGGCTTGGCCTGGCTTGGCCTTACCTGGCTTGGCCTTACCTGGCTTGGCCTTACCTGGCTTGGCCTTACCTTGACTCTACAACTCTTAGGTGAACCGGAAAGTCTTGTCTGCTTTTTTAAAGGTTACTTTTTAAAACAAATAATAAACCAATCAACCTATGATTTTTTTTATTAGAAAATTCAATTATTTATTTACAAATTAACCTTTAAGAAATCCCTGAAAAGCTTGCGTTATTTTTACTTTCTAAAGGTATAAAGTGGAGAAGACAAAAACGAAAAGACCGATTCAATTTTCGGTTTGAGTCCAATTTGAGCACCTTTTGTCACAGAAACCTTCTTTGGTGTCAAAAGACAAAAGATAGAGCATAAAAAGTTAGATAGATAGATAAATTTTCATAGAATTTCACTAAAATTTTTTCATTTTATGTTCATTGTAAGGATTTTAGGAAAAAACAAGATTTCTTGTTCGGATTTGCTTCAAAAAATTCTCGAATTCTCGTTCGGATTTGCACAAATTTGACTAAAAATGAGCTAAATGAAATAGTTAATCTTTTTTATTTAAATAAAATCACACTTTGATCGGATAATTATATATAAACGTAGATTTCAAAGAAGCGGACAAGATTTTCCAGCTAAACCAATAGTAAGTTAACTAGGTGGCCTTCCTGAGTGCCACTTTAAGGCTTATTCAAGAAAAAGTATGACTAATCAGGTTTAGATTTGCTGGGATAAGCAACTCATTGATTTCTGACATCGAAACTCACCGGTGAGCTTAAGGTTGAAGTTGGCATTTCCCTTTCCGTGTGGATTCACGATGGCACAACGGTAAGCACCCGCGTCCGAGTCGGCCAAGTCCTGAAATGTACAAGTAAAGTACTTTTAGAAGTAAAGTAAAGAGCTTTTTGAATAGTACTTTTGAATAGTCATGGAAAATAGTACTAGCTTTTGATGTATTATCTTTTTTCTTTCACATTTAGTTTAGTTTCTTCATTTTTCTTCACTTTTCTTCATTTTTCTTCTCTTTGGCTATCTTAAAGCTCAAATTACGTTCTCTCGCAACTTATTTATCGGCTAGCATCATCCTAAAGAGACTGAGCTTTTCAAAAGATTACACTTTTCGAACGATCACTTACACAAGAGGCAACTCTAAAGAGGTAGAGGGATAAAGAGTGCCTGTTTCCCTCCCAACACCACGAATTTTCCCTTCCCTAATCGCGCCACTAGTCAACATTTGTAAATAATCGATCATTGGACGTAAAAATGGAGAGACTTTTGTTTTTTTAGAGATTTAACTTCAAACTTTAGCTTCTGGCTTTACTGATTAAAGAAGTGATGGCTTTACTGATGATACTGATGATGAAAATTCACTGAAACAGTGGCTAATAGGATCAAGACTTGACAGTAGTACTTTGAAGATTTGAAATTTAGATTTGAAGATTTGAAATAAGATTTGAAGTAAGATTTGAAAGTAGTAAGAAAAAACAAAAACATTTCAACACTTGCGGATGTGTTGCGGATCAATCCTCCGGATATCAAGACTTTAATCCGTGCATTAAATCATTAAATTCAAGAAACTTCAATCCCATCTCCTTGTCAATTACTTTTCCTTGTCAATTCCATCACTTCTTTATTAAGAACTCAAGAACTTTAAAGCTTGGTTTTTCCGGCAGAAAGTTTGATTGCAATCGACCGGGCATATCAATGGCGGCTTTGAACAAGAAATGCAAGAGGTTAGCAACAAATATCAATCTCAAAATAGATTTTTAAATTAAGCTTTTAAAATTTTGATTCTTAAACGTTTAATTAAAGAGTTTAATCCCGAAATCAATGGATCTTGGGGAGATGATCGACTTGATTGCTTAGTCAAACTCTTGGGGAACTGATTAGTGCCGTTAACTGCTTAGATTTAGATTCATTTGAAAACAATGAATGAATGAGTTAATTACTTACTTAATTAATTAATTTAATTAATTTAATGAATCAAAACATGTTTTTGTTTGAATAATGGATAGGCCAGGCGTGGAAATTTTCGTTAAAAACACTCTCAAGATTCTGGATCAAAAAGTAACACTTGTAGTAATTTAGGTGAGATTTTGAGCTGTATTTTGTAGTATTTAAGTTCATTTAAGCTCATTTAAGTTCTCGTATTCATACTAAGGTCATATTTTGATTCAAGATTCGCACCTTGATTTGAAGGATGGCCGAGAAGGCGTCATTTCCCTTGTTTTGCAGTCTAAAGCTGAAGCGATCGGTTTGCTTCAACTCGTTCTGAAAAAGAAAAAAGGAATGGTCATTTTTTTCATACGAAAAATGAAACGATAAACTATAAACTATAAATGAACGTTGAAAAAATCGAATCCTATAGGGTTTAATCGAAAATTTCACTCACGTTCTCATAGAACCATTTGATATCGGGTTGGGGATTCGCCTCTAGGAAGCACTCCAACTCGAGAGACCTGAAAATTGATTTAAATCAACTATTGCTAAGAAAAAGCTAGGTTAAACTCTCTTTTCAAATTTCTTAACTACACTTTCGACAGGTTATTAATGTTTTAAATTTGGGAAAACGTAGGATTTGTTTCGTTTAAATTTTCTTCTCGAATAATTGAAAAATTTCGAGCTTTAGAGTTGAAATTGCGCTTTAAAATGATTGAAATAAAGACGAGATTTTAAAATTTAATCTAATTAGTACTTGAAAATGGATTAATACATGTAGAAATTGTTATTTTTAAAGTATTAAAAAGCCTTAGTTGAAATTGTGCTTTAAAATGATTGAAATAAAGATAAGATTTTAAAATTTAAGCTAATTAGTACTTGAAATGTATGTAGAAATTAATGTATGTAGGAATTGTTATTTTTAAAGTATTAAAAACCCTTACCCGTCATCGTTTTGTCTCGCAACGGGCTGTTGCGGGAAATGAGGTGCCTTCGACATCTAAAATCAAAAAAAAATTCTTATAAAATAATAAGAAAAAGCAGAAAAGAAGCAGAAAAAGCTTAGAAAGTCATCAAAAATGACTCGTATTTTTTGATTTGTTTTGTCTTTTGGTGATTTTGTGAGGAAAAGGAGAAGAAACGCGAAAATTAGTGTGCAAAGGGGAATCGACGGGGGGAAATGGAAATGTGTCATGATTTTTAAGTGTAGAATTGAGAAAGTTGCGAAAAATGTAAGAGATTACTGTTTTAGTTGTAAATTTCGTAGCTTTTATCGTAAATAGTTTGAAATTGGACTGAAATTAAAAGCAAAAATGAAGCTATATTAGACGAAATCGATTCGTTTAACTGAAAGGTTTCAGAGAATGAAATTTCAGAAGTTTCAAAGTGTTTAAGCTGTTAGGTTTTGAAATAAAGTTACAAAACTAAATGAATATTCTAAAAATCACTTTGAGATTTAGATCAAAGCTTGGAAGAACTAGATTTTGAGGAAAAAAACGATTTGAAGCGATGATTCTAGACTGAATCACCACTTTTCTTTTCCTTTCTTTCCCATTATGTCAACAAATCGTTATTTTCTTCGATTTTTCGATCCTAGCGTTTGAATTTAACTGATTTAGGGTAAACGTTTTGGATATAAGTCAACAAATTCATTCGTAGAAGTCTAAAGTTAGCTCAGAACCTAGAGTTAAGTAATGTTTGACTTTTGGTAATTGATTCAACAATGGTTTTCAATTTTATTAGCTTTTTGGAGCTTTCTCAAGAGTCAAACTGTAGATTGGAATCTATTGATCTATTGTTGTAAGATAAAAGATACAAATAAGTATAGATACAAGTAAAAAAATCATTTCTACGAGTCAAGGTTCGTTTAGAACTCGATAATCTTTCTAAAGCCAATCTTTCTACTTTTTATCTTCAATAAATTTGATAAACAAGTACTGTAGCTAGAGTAGGCTTTAGAAAAGCTGTAAATCTAAAGCAAAAAGCGTATTGGATAATCGTTCTAGATCTAGAGCTAGCCCGCTTCTAAAGCATGCTTTAGCTACCGTAGCCTAATAAAATTGTCGTCAATATTAAAGAGAATCAAGTAAATCAAATCTCTTAAAGCGTGGCTTTTCAGAGTGAAAGAAAGCAGAACTTATAAAGAATTAAAAAGCCGCTAGTTATTTGCAAATGACAAAGTCAAAAACAAAACTAATCAATGACAAAGTACCAAGAAGCAAGGAGAAGAATCGAGAAGGACAAGGAAGAGTTCGAAGTAGAACAAGAATGACAAAGCTGAAAGAGGCGATGAGAGATCAGAGTCGATTCACAAACAGAGGCAATGCAAAGGATATTCACAAAAGAGGTCCACCCTCGGGGCGTTACAACACGGAGTGTGAGGCAAGGGAGAGACGGCCCCCGCATTGCCCGAGATCGCTTTGGGGTGTTTTCCAGGGAGATCTCCTGCTAAACACAGCATATGGAGCTCTTGGAATCGCTTTAGAAACATGGAAACATCAGCCGCAAAGATTTTGAGAGGAAAAGGTGTTCCATTTATGGAGATAATGAATTGGTATCCTAGAGAAAAGCTGAAATCTTTGATTTGGTAATTGTAAAAGTGTACACTCACAAGATTTTTAATATTTTCAGCTAATTGGCTGACAAGCTGGGCTTAGAAAATGTTGAGAAATGAGAAAAGAGAAATCAGGACTAAGATTTAGATTGATTGAGGTTTTTGAAGCTCAACTAATCTAATCTAATCGAATCAAAGGCTTATAAAATGTTAGACTTTCAAAATATTAAGTCTGCTATTGAAAAATGAACCTATAAACGTTGAAACTCTTTAAATTAATGTTTAAAAATATTGTTCTTAGAAAGGTAATTAGATTTCGATTGTTTTGATTCAGTTTTTAGCAGATTCGCGATGATATGGATCACTAGCAGCGTATATTTTCGATGTTAACTTGTTCTTAAAGGTTTTGCTATTCATTCGCAAAAGGTTCTCGGCAATTTTATATTAGATTTCAAGAGGAGATTCAGGGCTATCGAATGACTAGAATAGCTTAGTTTTCCTTTGAATTTATGGCAAGTTATCAGTGAAACAGTTAACGACTACGCGTCTGTACGCCCAAAATGCCGTTGTCGCAAAAATACCGGCAAAATACCGTTGTGTTAACATATTTTTGTCAATTTGTAAAGCTAAAATGATCAATTTGTAAAGCTACTGAGCACCGATAGGCCGTGCTAATGAATATTTTTGGTGTTAACTTGTTTTTGAAGGTTTTGCTATTCATTCGCAAAAAGTTCTCGGCAATTTTATATTAGTTTTCAAGAGAAGGTTCAGGGCTATCAAATGACTAGAATAGTTTAGTTTTTCTTTGAATTTACATCAAGTTATCAGTGAAACAGTTAACGACTACGCGTCTATACTCCCAAAATGCCGTAATTTCTCATCCGAGCGAATCGAGAAGCTGATTTTAAGTTTAAGAAGTTAGCTTAAGTGTTAAGCTCTGGGTTTTGGGTTCCAGAATCCAATATAGTTTTAAAATGACTAAAATATTTAAGAATTTCCATTGAGTTGACTGGTTTTTATCAGATTTCATCAAAAATTCTTGATACATTTGACTCTGACCGAATTTTGTCTGAACAAGCATCGCAAATTTCCATTTAACTGCCAAATAGTGAACAGTAGCATAATGAACGTGAATTGAATGCTATTATTTGCTATTATTTGATACATAATTCATTCCAAAAATTCAAAATCATGAAAACTTTGAGAAACATGCTTGTTTGACTCAATGTTTTGTCTATTTTTGGATGATTTGCCGCAAGGAATTTGGGGAAATGTGTCACACTGCAAGAGGCTAATTAAACCTTTTCGAAGTTGAAGTTGGGAGTGAAATAAACAAGCATAGAAAGTTGAGAGAGTTAGATCTTAATAGGCAAGGGGAAATAAGCCATTTCTAAACCGGAAGCCAGGGATGAATACAGGAATTTATAGGTTTTTCTGAACTAACCGGATCCTGTTCCGTGTCGGACATTCTCTGAAAATGTTCTGAGCTCTACTGGAGTAATAAAAGTTTGCAATTTGTGTTTTTTTGACGAAATTCCTGCAATGTGATTAGTCTAGACACCTATTATTGGCAATCCAACTTTGAGCTTAAATATCTTCGTGCTGGGCTGCTTAATTTAAATATTTTTGGTATCATTGGATGCGTCAAGTCTTTCTCTGTTGATTGGTACAAAAAGGATTTAAATTGGACAGTTCAAAACAAAGATATTTGAGCTCAAAGTTGGATTGCCTATGGCAAAGGGGGCGAGGCGACGGACCTTTCATACGCGCCGCGCCTCCTTTGCCATTGGCAATCCAACTTTGGGCTTGAATTTCTTGGTGTTGAACTGTTCAGTTTAAATAGTTTTTGTACCAATCGACAGAGAAAGACTTGACGCATCCAATGATACCAAGAATATGTAAATTGGACAGCTCAACACCAAGAAATTTGAGCTCAAAGTTAGATTGCCAATGGCAAAGGAGGCGGATATCAAATGTCTGATAACCTTATCATAATCCTGGTCACTATAACTCGTAATAACATTACCGTAGCCTTTCTAACTATGAGAACTAGTAGATTAAAAAGGTTGCATTGAAATTGATTCGTTCTGATATGATATGCGATTAGAATTACGGTGTAAATCTAGATTGGCTAAAATCTGCGCCGACTACGGTAACCGGGGCAGGTTTTAAGGCCGGGCAGGCTAGTGAATCAAGTTTGGAAAAAGTTCAATCAAGTTATTGTTGCAGTATTTTCAAATTGTTTACAAGATCTACAACTTTACATCTAGTCAAGTAGTAAAACTTCGGATTCCTCTGTTCTTGAGCCTAATAAATCCATTCAACATTGAGACAAGTTAACAAATTAAAAGATTAGTTGAAAACACTTTTCATTAGTTAGAAATTTTTGCTACTATTGGGGTTTTTGATTCTAGTTTCACCAGTGCAAAAAACTAGTTTAACCAGTGCAAAAGGCAGAGCTTAAATCTTCCATTTCATTCCGATTTCAAATTTCAAACCTCAAACTCGTTTCCTACTCAAAATAATCAGTAATTACAACAATACAGAGAGAATGGCAGCGGCGCAGCGTGGGTGGATCAAAGTGGAAATCGGGATGGGATAGATGAATGAAATTGAGAAAAGATATTGACCTAAGATCTCGAATTCAGATGGAGAAAAGGAAATAAGAGAAATGAGAAAGACAATGAGAAAGACTTGGAAAAAAAGGGGATATTCTGGGAGATGTGATGATATGATACTGAAGTCAATAATCGATGAGAGATGGGGTTTGTTGGGTGGGAAAAGAGAAAGACAAAGAGAAGCCACCCCTTCGGTCAATATTGGGTCTCTTCGGGTCTCTTCGGTGTCTTCTCCCTGTCTTTGATCCTGCCACCGGTTTTTTTTCAGCTACAGTCGTCGTTAATTTGCTTTTCGAGAAGTTTAGTTGTAAATGCCACAAAACTGAGCTTTCTTAGCAGACAGTCTGATGCAAGTTTGATAAAAGTCGATGTAATGATCTTTTTCTTAACAAATTCCCGACGATATTCACCGATAGGCCTGGCTAATAAATATTTTTGGTGTTAACTCGTTTTTAATGGTTTTGTTATTCGTTTCGCAAAAAGCCCTCGATAATTTTCTACTAGTTTTCAAGAGAAGATTTAGGGCTATCAAATGACAATAATAGTTTAGTTTTTCTTTGAATTTATAGCATGTTATCAGTAAAACAGTTAACAGCTACACGACTGTACTCCCAAAATGCCGTTGTGGCGAAAATATCGGCAAAATACCGTTGTGTTAACACTCAATTTGTAAAGTTACTGATCTAACTCCCTTTGGAGTAAGGGAGATCAAGTGCGTTGTGGTGTACTAATCAGCACAGTTGCTCGGTAAGTGAAAGGTCGCAGGTTCGAGTCTCGGAGGCGCACAAGTTTTCAGCTGCCCTAGTTCCAACTACTGTTCAACGAAGT